TGGCGCAGGGACTCGGGTGTCTCCTTGCTTGGATCAGCACATCCCGTGGGGCTCTGCACCCCTGCCTCTGCTGCAGCCTCCCAGAAAACCCCTGCAGCCACGGGAATGCTTTTCCCAGCACAGGAGAGGGTCCCTGGGTGCCGTGGGAGAGGAGAGAGCAGCCTGTGCTGGTCTAGCTCATGTTCAGTGTCTCACAACAGCAGAAATGAGAATAAAGTCCTGGGCATGGGGGTGCTGTTTGACTGCTTGTGACCTGGCTGTTGTAATTATTGACACAAGCTGGCTGTTTGACCAAAACCTGCCTTTTTCATGGTAAGAACTGGCCCCAGCCAGCTCAGACAGCTCCAAAAACCGCTGAGGTACAGCTGCCATGGCTCCCTCACTCTGACAGCAGACCAGTGGGACTGGGCACTGGAAGAGGCCACAGGTATCTGTAAAAGAATCATAACTGTCTTGCAGGATAACTGGGATGATGAGGAGGAAGAGGAGGAGGTGAAGGAGACAGAGGTAAAACAAGGTGAGATTTAAGGCTCTGTCAGCACGGGAACAGCCACTGTGTGTGTGTGAGGATCAAACCTGAGCGGGGCTGGGTTTAACAGAAATGGCTTTAGCTCTGTGCTCAGTCCCAGGAGCTGAGCTCGGTGCCTTCCAGGGTGGCTGTGGTTGTGGGGGGGAGAAAAAAATCACCAGACTTGTGAGAGCTGCGTTTGTTGTTCCACTTTTTACAGAACCGAAAGTCTCGGAAAAAAAGAAAATAGCAGAAAAAATCAAAGAAAAAGAAAAGCTACAGAAGAAAAAGCAAGAGGAGCTTAAAAAAAGGGTAACTCCTGGTATCTTTCTGGGTCACAGAAAATTCAGAGGGTGGGTTTGATTTGGTTTTTTGTAGGTTGAGCAAGATCTGAAAAGGTCTGGATTCATCTGATAAACCCAACTTAGGTCTTGTACGTGATCCCATCTGGGGCTGGGAGCTTTAATTCCCATATAATTTAACCAGTGATTGGATCAGTGTTACCCAGCTCCTTTGTGTGATGGAACAGGCAGCAGTGGGAGTTCGGTGTTTCTTCCCATTCCTTGTGAAATGCACAATTTGTTGAGACTCAGGGAATGGCTTCCATGTTTTCCATGTGCCCTGAGTCGAGGCAGCAGTGGGTGATTGAGTGGCTCTGGAGAAGGCTCCGTGTGTTCAGCGTGCCACCCTCTCCCTCTGTGCTGTCCCTGCAGTTAGAGGCACCCGAGGAACAGAAGGAGCTCACGCCAGAAGAACAGCTGGCAGACAAACTACGGCTAAAGAAGTTACAGGAGGAGTCGGACCTGGAGCTGGCAAAGGAAACCTTTGGTGAGTTAAAGCAGCAGGAAATCAACCCCTGGCACCTGTGGGACCCTGCAGAGCACGAGCAGGGTTTGGCTCCCAGCACACAGAGCTCGTGGCTCTGAGAACAAAGAAGTGGCAGAGATGCTGATGCACAGCAGCATTCCTCAAACATGGAAGCGTTTCCTTGATGATGGTGAATGATTCAGCTCATTGCTCAGGAGAGGCTGTGCTCAGTGAGTTGTCACAGAGCACAGTGCTTGGGGGGTGTGCACTGGCTACAGCTGCAGAGAGCCAGCTGGGTTCTGGTTTATTTGAGGGAAGAAGAGGCTTCCTGGTGCAGGTTGTCCAGAGAACAGGAATAGCTGGGTCAAATTGCTGAGTTTGACTCAGCTTTGGTGGACAGAGACTTTGGACAAGGGTGTGGAGTGACAGAACAAAGGAGAACAGCTTTCCACTGACAAAGGGCACTGTTAGATGGGATGTTGGGGAGGAATTGTTCCTTGTGAGGGGATGAGGCCCTGGCACAGGGTGCCCAGAGAAGCTGTGGCTGCCCCTAAATCCCTGGAAGTGCCCAAGATGGTGTTGGATGGACTTGGAGCAACCTGGGATTGTGGAAGGTGTCCCTGCCCTGAGAGAGTGGCACTGGAGGGGCTTTAATGTCCCTTCCAATCCAACCCATTCAGGGATTCTATGAAATGACTGAGTTTTGCAGCAAACTTCCTTCCTTCCTGTAAGCCAGGGATGGGCCCTGGCTGCGGGGGGAGCTCAGGGAGGTGGGAGCCAGCTCCCCTGTTAGGGCTCACAGCTCACATTCTCTGCCTGTCCCTGCAGGTGTAAATAGCACTTGTGGAATAGATGCCATGAATCCCTCTTCAAAAGATGACTTCACGGAATTTGGGAAGCTCCTCAAGGAGAAAATCACACAGTACGAGAAGTCGTTACATTACGCCGGGTTTTTGGAAGCGTTGCTTCGGGACATCTGTATTTCCTGTAAGTCCAGACAGCCCCAGCTCTGCTGCCAGAGCTGTGCTGGAGCTGAAGTCAGTGCTCAGAGGGGATGGCTCTGGTAGTCTGTGCTAAATGAAGCACTGGCCTGGTTCTATTCCCACAAACTCCAGCAAGGGTCCTCTCCTCGTGCAAGAGCTGCTCTTGCTGCACGTCATCTAAAAAGTGTAAATTTTTATGCTGATCTAAACCATGTGTGTATTTATTGAAACCATTTCTAAAATAATTAGAGTAAATTCTCTGAGGCAGATAATTTGAGTACCTCATTTGGAGGGAAACCATTGCAAAATCGAGTTCATGTAGTTCTGGATCTGCAGATTAACTGTTCTGGAATTCAGCATGTAACTATACAGAGATGAAGTAATTGAAGCTCATTTTCCCACTGTCCTGGTGGCTGGAGCAGTGGCTGGGAAGGTTCCCTGTCCTGTGTTGTCCTTCAGTGGGGGTAACTCGATCCCAGCAGAGCTGGGCACATCCATCCTCCCAGCTGGCAGCTTCCATCTCAGAGGGATTCCAGAGCTCCAGACAGGAGGGTCTCCAGTCTCTTCCACCATTTATTGATAAACATCATAATTCCTTGTTAATCCAGTGCTCCTTTTGATACATTTTACTGTATTTTACTGTCTCCACATTTTCCTGTTCAAATGTCTCAGTAAGACTCTTGTGCTCAGTAACTTTATTTGCAAGTTTTACCCTCTACAATGCTCAGGCTTCCAAGGAACCAGCTGGAATCCTTGTTGGGCTTGGAAGGACCAGAACCACCCACTCTGTGTTCTGCTGATTTAAATCAAGTAATTGCCCAAAGCTACACTAATGCTTATTTCTAGTTCTAGAGTCTGTGGATGTTATTTAACTGCCTTATAAGAACAACATTGATAAGGAATTTTTTTTTTCCTTTTTTTTCCCCCTGATGCAGTGGAGGTGGATGATTTGAAAAAGATCACAAACACCCTGACAGTATTATGCAGTGAAAAGCAAAAACAAGAGAAGGTAAGAGTGGGGCTGTTCCTTCCAGCCCCTGCTTGGGGCTCCCATGCATTTATTAGTTACTTGTTGAGAGTCCAGGGGAAACAGGATGAAGGCAAAAGGCGGGCAGGGCTGTGGTGCAGGGAGCTGGGGACACCTGCAACGCTCACAGCTTCCCGAGGAAGAGAAATGTGTGGGGTGGAAACCGCTCAGTGCCACGGGGCTGACCCTGGCTGGGGCAGTGCAGAGCTCTGGGCCTGTCCAAATAACCATCCTCATCCTCTTGGCACAGAATAAAGCCAAAAAGAAGAAAAAAGGTGTTGTGCCTGGCGGGGGGCTGAAGGCGACGATGAAAGACGACCTGGCCGACTACGGCGGCTACGACGGCGAGTACGTACAAGACTTTGAAGACTTCATGTGACATTTATCTCCCTTCTGTTGTCTTTCTGTTGCCCATAATCCCTTAAACATGTAGCACAACCTTTCTTCCTCTAAATTCTGCCAAATGCTACAATCAGAATTGCAGTATCTGTGTGCTGGGGGCTGGAGGTGCCGGGAGGAAGCTCCGGGCCGGGGTGGAATGGAAAAGGTCTGTAAATTGCAGTTAAAAACCCAAAATTCTGATAATGGGCACTGCTGCTATTTATAGCAACAGCCACTAAATTGGGAAGGAATTGGAACAAGGTGAAGGATTATAACCAGCACAGCTCCATGACATGGCCTTAACTGTCCCTGCTCCAGGGCCAGGGCTGAGCACGAGCAGTTTGCAGCAAGGGCAGGGTGTGCACGTAGAGTTCCAGTCGCTTTGTCTTGAGTTAGAGCTTGAGGATTTCAGTATTTTGGGAAGGGAACTGCTAACTTCAGTGTGGAATACTGCACCTGGGAGTGTGGCCCCTGGGACAGCCACTACTCCAGAGCCTGACACCTGAACAGCACCTGGTGGGGCAGAGCAAGGCAAAACCCACTTGTGTCTCCAGGATGAAGTTTAGTTCCATTCATTTAAATTTCTACTAATGCAGCTGTCTGGGTTGGGTGTTCTTTAACAGTTAATTACGGGGTTAAGTGTAAAAGAAAGAACCAAACCACACAACATCCTTGGGGCTCTCCTGGGTTGTGGTGGGTCTCTCACGACTCGGCCGTTTTCTTTCATTAAAAACCAAACTTGCTTAGCAAACTGCAGCAGTTCCTACAGTTGGGCAAATTGTTATGTTAACAATTACAACATCTGCAATGTTTTATAAAGCAACTAATTTAATAAAAATCACTATTGAGGACTTCACCAGGCTGGCCTTGGAGGAGTTCTTTTGGGGCCTGACAGGAAAAATACCTGAAGTGGGAGAGTTGCAGAGCTGAGCTGTGCTGTGCTGGGAGTGTGCCCACAGCTTGGGCATGGAAAGGAATTTCTATTTAATAACTGTAAAAATACATTTGTACTTGATTATTTCTTTTACTCCAAGACAGCAGAATTAGGAATGTGCTGTTTAAAGCTGTACAAAAGTTTAGAGATCAGATTTGACTCACAGAACACATTAGTCTACTGGGTACCTGAAACCTTCACTGCTTCTGCTTATTCCACCCCTTTGCCTGGACATTCTGCACATCTGTTTCAGCCCCTTGGGCACAATTCCTGGGGTGCTCCCTTCCCCTGATTTAAAGAGCTGCTGGATCTCTGCTTCACCCCCCACCTGGGCCAGTCACTGTTTGCTGGTGACTCAAGTAATTTATAAACAGATTTATTATACAAAACACAATTTTAGGTTAATAGTTTCAGCATTTTAAATATTTACAACCCTGTCCATTTTTCTGGAGTAATTTTTGCAGAGCAGCAGTGCCCTGGGTGCAGGTCACTGATAAAATCTGTGTCAATCAGCACTGACCCTGCGCTCGTCTCCGGGCTGGAATTTGGCTGGAATTCAGTTGGATAAGAGGTCGTTGAGGCAGCAGGCAGTCTGAGGGTCCTTCAGCAGGGAGTTCACCACGTCATAGAACTTGTGTTCGTAGGCCAGCCTGTAGTAGGTGTAGATGTCCTCGCAGTGGGTGAGGAACCGCTTCAGGTTCCTCAGGGCAGCGTCAGCAGGGGCGTGCTGCTGGACCCTGGAGCAACAGCACATGGAACTGAGACACAGAAGCTTCCCAGGCCCCTGAGACTTGCTCTGGGCCTGCAAGAATGACATTTTCAACAAGAGGTTGTACTCAACACCTACATTTGAACCTCCTGGTTGTTTATTTGATCTGATTCATTTCAAAGATTTGCTCTGGCCAGCCCTGAGCTCCCTCCTTGTCCAGCTCAAGGACAAGGCTGGGTCAGAGTGACTTCCATGCTGTGCTCAGGAACCAAACCGACAAATCCTCCCCTGGCAGGGTGGGCAGCCCTGGCACAGGTGCCCAGAGCAGCTGGGGCTGCCCCTGGATCCCTGGCAGTGTCCAAGGCCAGGCTGGACAGGGCTGGGAGCAGCTGGGACAGTGGGAGGTGTCCCTGCCATGGCTGGGGTGGCACTGGCTGGGCTTTAAGGTCCCTTCCCACCCAAACCATTCTGGAATTCTATCTCAAGTCCCCTGTATGAAACCTTCCCCTGTAACAGGTTGAACAGTTTAATAACCCTTTCCTCCTGCCCCTCTCAGGGCCTGCAGTTTTTCCCCTGACCCTCACTCACCTCTTGGCCACCTCCTCGAACAGGCTGGGCCGCAGTGGCCGCTGCTGCTTGAACTCCTCCAGGTACACGAAGTCACCCCTGGTGATCACCTGCTGGAACAGAACCTCAGCCCAGTCCGGCAGGAACTCGTAGGCCTCGGCCAGGATGGCTGCCTGCAGGGAGAGCAGGAACAGGGATTGCACAGAACATTCCACACTGTGTGGATCCTCACTACTGGGAGCTTCAGTTTGAGCCACCCCTTGCTGCTGTTGAGAGCAGCTGTGAAATACAGGCTAACAAAGCACTGTGAACAACCTTCCTCAGCCCCTGAGCAGGGACACCTCCCATTGTCCCAGCTGCTCTGGGTACCCTGTGCCAGGGCCTGCCCACCCTGCCAGGGAACAATTCCTGCCCCAAATCCCATCCAGCCCTGCCCTCTGGCACTGGGAGCCATTCCCTGTGTCCTGCTCCTCCATCCCATGTATCCCACAGGATACAAGGTTGGGGTAAGAGGACACAGAGGCCAGGAGGAGGAGCTGGGGCACTGCAGTGACACGGTCACTCCCCCCAGAAGGACCCCAGCTCACCTGGTAGAACCTGGGCAGGGCCAGGATGGCTCCAGGCAGGTCCTGCCTGCCCAGGTTGATGATCCTGGTGCTCTGGCCCAAGGCCAGGAAGTGCAGCTGCAGCGTGATGAGCCGCGTCAGGCGGCGGCAGCGCAGCGCCTGCCGCACACACGAGTCCTGCAACACAGCACTGAGAGCTGCAGGGCAGCCTGGACACAGCCCTGAGAGCAGGAGTCCTGCAACACAGCACTGAGAGCTGCAGGGCAGCCTGGACACAGCCCTGAGAGCAGCTCGGGTTCTGCAGTGACTGAGAGCACTGCAGCCTCCTGTTCATCGTATCCCATGAGCCTTAAACAAAGCTTCACTCCCACAAATGCTTCCATCATTATTGCACTTGGCTTTAAATACTTCATTTGTTCTATCCTTGCTAATTAAGCTCATGGTCCCTGCTCTGACAGTGGGGAACCCACCTGTAGCCCCAGGGGTTAAAGGCTGAGCAGGGCCAGCATGGCACGCTCAGCTACAGCCGTGCTGCAGAGACACAGAGCCAGGAGCCCTCCCTGGGGCAACTCTGTGTTCTCCCAGCACAGCCCACTCCTCACGAGCTCCCAGCACTGCCCACAAGTCCTTCTGTTCCATCTCACTTTACCTTGGAGTAACTTTCTGCTGCATCAATGAAGAGAGTCAGAGCTTTCAGCAGCAGCTTCTTTAAATTTGCAACATCCTGAAGAGACTCCTCTGAAACAGAAAAAGAAGGAATAACCATTTATTCATAAAGGTGACAAAGTTAAGTTACAAAACTCCCTCCCAGTGCCAAGTCTGTCCCTGGCATTCTCTCAGAAAGCACCAACAAACTGAACCATAACTGATGAATTAAAACAGCAGAAGGAACACACTGGCTGTTCAGCTGATGGATCAAAGCTTTGCTACAGCCTGGTCGAGTGACTGGAGACTGGAAAGAAACCCCAAGCACACGTTTGTGGCAGAGCCCAGCACTGACCGTGGGCAGATCCATTCAGAAATCCCCTGGCACAGCTCCTGCTGTCGCTGGTGCTGCAGCACGGGCTGCCCAGGCCGCAGAGCTCAGCCCGTGGGTGCCACACACAGAGCCCAGCACTTCACAGGAGCCCTGCAAACCCAGCTGGGTCTGTCCCTGCTCCAGGGGAGCCACCGGGGCAATGTCACACCGGGAGAGAGCCCTAAATCCCACCCTCTGCAAACACAAGGGACCTCCCCTCCCTGCCTCCCCGCTCACCCCAGGGCCGGCACTCGATGAGTTTGAGCTGGGTGGAGGCAGCAGCCTCGTGGTTCTGGCCGATCTCCCTGCACATGCTGAAGCACAGCGCGATCATGTTGTGCTTCTCGCTGTCACCGGGCCGGCAGCGCTTGGTGTAGTCCAGCAGCGCCGCCTTCAGCGTCCCGCTCTGGGCACACAGGGCACACTGAGCACGGCTCCCGCCTCCTCCTGCACCCACCATCTCCCACAGTGCACCCAAAACCCAACAGCAGCCTCACACCCGCTCAGCCGGGCACCAGAACCTAGCACCGACACAAATGTCAAAACCTGACCTTTCTTGGTGACTTAAACAAAGCTATGAGGATTTATGGTTTTTTAAAGCCCCCGTGAAACTTTAACTGCAAATAAAGCGGGGTCTGAAAACACTGACAATGCCAAGTTTAAGTTTCAATGCTGCACTCGTAGCCCTCAACTAATTAAGGAAAAATGGTTCAACTAAAATGAGAATAAGCCCCAGCATTAATTTACTTCTGTGAAAGCTGACTCTCGATTCCTGCACTCAGGAAGTCAAATGCCCAGACAATTTCACCCTGTGCTTCCAATGCAGCCACACAACTCCCTGCACGTTTGTCCCTCACGTACCGGGTCCAGTTTCTTCCTCATGAGCACCTCGAAGTAGTGTTTGTGGTGCAGCAGCTCGAAGATGTAGGTCATCTCATTGTACCTGCCGATGCCGGTCAGCAGCCGCACCTGGGGGCAGCCAGGGCGCGTCAGGAGCTCCCCAGGCACAGCAGCTGCAGGCATTCCCGTGGAGCCACGGGGGGACTCCCAAACCAGCCCAAACTGCACCGTTTCAGCACAGAAAAACGGGCAGGGAAGCTTTCAGCGCCGACCCCGCGCCACTGGGCACGTCCCAGGCTCCAGGAGTTCCTTCAGGATGCCAAAGAGCCCCTGCCCTACAGAGCAGCATTTCCCCAGCGGCTGAATCACCTGTGTACAGGCACAGCCCCACTGCCCTGCCCCACAGGTACAGCCCCACTGCCCTGCCCCACAGGTACAGCCCCACAGGTACAGCCCTGCCCCACAGGTACAGCCCCACTGCCCTGCCCCACAGGTACAGCCCCACAGGTACAGCCCTGCCCCACAAGCACAGCCCCACAAGCACAGCCCCACAAGCACAGCCCCACAGCCCAGCCCCACAAGCACTCACCACCAGCCCATACTCCTCCCTGGGAGCCAGGTGCTCCTCGGTGAGCAGCCGAGCTGCCTGGAGCACGCGTGTGATCCCCTCCATGTGGCACGTCAGGCTGAAGCAGCTGTGGGCCAGGATCAGCAGCTCTGTGACTGGAGAGCAGAAGAATTCTGCTATTTCAGTTGAAAGGGCTGAGGAAGTGAATTACTGCCTCTCTCCAGAAGAGAAAACACAAAATGCATGCGAAGCACAGAACTTGCAGCCTCCTCCAGGAGAAGCTGACGAATGTGTAACACATCATCGCTGCACTGCCTGCCAGCTCTGTGCTTGCAAAAGGAAGGACACGAGTTTTGCTTTTGGGTTTGAAAAATCCCTAACTGTGATGAATATGAACAAAGTCACAATGCCCCTTCTCAAACAAACCACCACGACAGCTCAGGTCACTCCCTGACTGCATTTCCCACCTCCTGCTCAGCACAGAAATCTGAATTTTGTTCAGATAATAACCCCCTACGCAACGCCCTTATCTACTGTGCATATCCTCAGCCCTACAAATGGAATATCAAACTTGAGATCAGCAGCAGAGCTCCCTTTGAGCTGTGAGTTTAAGCCAACAATGCCACGGTAGTTACACACAGGTTACACCAGGTAGGATTTCCCATGTACTCACTGCAGGACAGCTCCCCACGGGGGACAGAGGAGATTTTATCCAGTAACTTCATCCCAACCAAGGTGTGATCCTGGCACAGCTTGGCAAGCTGCAGGAGTGCCTGGCTCTCCACTGCAGGGTTCCAAACCTGCTTCTGCCCTGTGGCCAGAGAGAGAATTCTGTCACCACTGCTAATTATGCAGGAGAGAACTCCTATTATTGTTTATCATTAATTAACAACCCCCAAACAAACCAATCTGACATCATCCAGACTGACTGAGGTCTTGGGACTACAATCCTAAAGACTTTGGGTGTTACTGCTTAAATTTAACAATCAGAAAATACTTTTTTGCCAGTTCAAATCAATAAAATCCTACTGGACAGCCATACAGCTGCCCCTCATTTCCCAAAGGAAAAAAGGAAAGGGAAAACCTTTTGTCATGCTTTACACAGAGAAATGTACATGATATTCCCAAGTCAGATCATGTGGGGCAGCAAAGACCACTGTTAAAAATCCTTTTTTTAAAAAAATATTGAATTTATGTCCATAGAAATACAACCTTAACTACTGCAACACCACACTGGACACAGGAGTAACTACAAATGAACGTTTGTACACAACTTTACATCAGGCAGGCATTGCTCACAGGGCAGAGCTGCTCAGACACCCCTGGCTGTGCTGAGCTCTCAGGGACCAAAGCCCAGGTGTGTCCCCACCTTTTCCCTGTGCCGAGGCCAGCAGCTCCTGGGTGATCTGCTGTGCCAGCAGTGGTGCCACAGTGGCAGGGGACAGCCCCTGGCAGGTGATGAAGGCCTGGGCTCTGCGGCTGCGCTCCGGCCCCCGCCGGGCCAGGATGGCCCCCAGCACCTCCCGCGGCTCCCGCGCCGACACCTCCCCAAAGGAACAGCTCAGCTCCTGCAGGAACACCCAAAATCCCAGTCAGAGCATCCCCCACCAACACCTCCCCAAAGGAACAGCTCAGCTCCTGCAGGAACACCCAAAATCCCAGTCAGAGCATCCCCCACCAACACCTCCCCAAAGGAACAGCTCAGCTCCTGCAGGAACACCCAAAATCCCAGTCAGAGCAACCCCACCAACACCTCCCCAAAGGAACAGCTCAGCTCCTGCAGGAACACCCAAAATCCCAGTCAGAGCATCCCCCACCAACACCTCCCCAAAGGAACAGCTCAGCTCCTGCAGGAACACCCAAAATCCCAGTCAGAGCAACCCCCACCAACACCTCCCCAAAGGAACAGCTCAGCTCCTGCAGGAACACCCGAAAAGGAAGAGGGCAGGGTGAACAGACCTGCTGGGGAGGCTGTGGAAAGGCCACCAGACAGAGCCAGGCTCTGAGCTGGGCTGGGCTCAGAGCAGGGACTGGCCAGGCTGACAGTCCAGCTCAGCCACACCATGCCCAAGCCCCTCTGGCCTTTTTCCACACAAAGGGTTGGAATTTCACCCTCTGCAGCTCCTCCAGGCCCCTGCTGAGGACCTTCCTCCCTTCCCCACGCCCAACCTTACCTTGGAGAGCTCGTAGAGGCACAGCACCTGCCGGCAGTAGCCCCTGCCATGGACACACTCCTCTGCCAGAGCCTTCAGTGCTGCCACCACGGCATCGTCCCCACTCGGGGCCCCCAGAGGGGTCCACTCCTCCAGGCTGGATGCTGGAAACAAAAGAAACATCAATTCCTATCTCATGAAGGCACACAGCTCCCTTACACCCAGGCAAAGCTCCCCAAATCTACAGCAATTGCGTGACACTTGCTCAGTCTTTGAAAACCGAGATTTTTACACCTTGATTTTTTAAATTTTACATTTGTTTCAATGTAACATAACACAAACATCCCAAGTAATATCTCAGATATAAAATTTCTAAGCATTAGATTGAATGAGGGTCCTGCAGCCTTCCCAATGGGTTAGGATTCATTTATGCTCTTCTGTCTATTCAGCTTTACACATCAGTATGAGAAAGGGATGTTCCAGCTGAAACTCACTCAGATTTCACAGACATGCAGAGAACTTTACAGACATTCTCAGCCTTAGCCTTGCTATTAAACAAGAAACACTAAACCCTTCAGAATGCAAAAGAGTCAGGAAAGTATATTAATTAAAGCATCTCCCTGCTTCAGCTACAGAAAAACAAAGTTAGTAGAATGTGTTTTCTGAAGGCAGGAGCAGGGCTGAGGCCCAGTGCTGCTTTACTGGGCCAGAACTGCGAGCAAAGGTAACAAAGGGGAGGTTCGGGATCTATGGCAGCCGTTCACAGAACACCCTGCCTGGAGCACAGCGGGCTTCCAACTCCTGTCACGACAGCATTCAGGAACCAGGGAGAGAAAGCAGGGAGAGCCAGATTTCTGCAGCAGTTTTGGGGAGATGCAGAGAGGGGAGGCAGGGCAGGGAGTCACTCACTGCTGGGGGCTCCGCTCGCCGCGCCGGCCTCGCGTGTCCCGGCTCTGGCCGCCAGCAGGGCCCGCACCTCGGGCTGCAGCTGCTCCAGCCCGGCCTCCCCCGAGGCCAGCGCCCGGCAGTGCAGCACCAGCGACACGTCCCTGGGCCACAGCTGGAAGTAGCGGCACACTCGGGCGGCCTCGGGCACGCTGCCCTCGTCCAGCAGGGCTCCCAGCAGCGCGGCCAGCGCCGCTCGCTCCCGGGGCTCCAGAGCCTGCCGGGGCTCCCCGGGCTCCAGAGCCTGCCGGGGCTCCCCGGGCCCCAGGGCCTGCCGGGGCTCCCCGGGCCCCAGAGCCTGCCGGGGCTCCCGAGCCTGCCGGGGCTCCAGAGCCTGCCGGGGCTCCCCGGGCCCCAGAGCCTGCCGGGGCTCCCGAGCCTGCCGGGGCTCCAGAGCCTGCCGGGGCTCCCCGGGCCCCAGAGCCTGCCGGGGCTCCAGAGCCTGCCGGGGCTCCCCGGGCCCCAGAGCCTGCCGGGGCTCCAGAGCCTGCCGGGGCTCCCCGGGCCCCAGAGCCTGCCGGGGCTCCAGAGCCTGCCGGGGCTCCCCGGGCCCCAGAGCCTGCCGGGGCTCCCCGGGCCCCAGACCCTGCCGGGGCTCCGGAGCTTGCCGGGGCTCCCCGGGCCCCAGGGGCTCCCCCGGCCCCAGGGCCTGCAGGCCGCGGGGCCCGGCCGCCCTCAGCGCCGGCAGCTGTGCGAAGGAGAAGCGCCGGGCCAGGCTGGCGAAGGGCAGCTCCCGGCCCGGCCCGCAGGGACCCTGCCCCGAGCCCTCGGCCGCCAGCGCTCGCTCGGCCACGCGGCACTGCCAGATCCGCTTCTCCAGCTCCTGCAGCTCCGGCACCGCCACCTCGGGCTCCTCCAGCGCCAGCCAGTGCCCGGCCAGCGTCAGCAGCAGCTGCCTCTCCAGCAGGCCGGCTGTGTTCTCCTGCCCCGGGCATTCCCACACGCTGTTGGCCTGCTCGAGGAAGAACGCCGCTGCGGCTCGGCTGCAGACGGAATGTTTGCTGAAGGTGTCGTTGCACTTTTTCCAGAAGTCAGCTCTTGTCTGGGTGTGATGCCACTGTCCAGTGTCTCTTAAATGATGTAGATCTCTCAGAACCTGTAAAACATACAGAGGTTTAGCACAATTATCTTTCCAAGCAAGAAAACTCCAACTGACACAGGATGGCCAGCACTGAAACACTGGGTTTAGGTAAGTGCTCCAATATGCAACAAGGCACAGAATTGGTTTGGGTTGGAAGGGAGCTTAAAGATCATTTAGTTCCACCCCCTGATAGACAAACCTGTCTGTTTTTCTCCCCAAATAAAACTGATTGCATATGAATAAAAAAAATAAGAGAATAAGGAGAGTTGTCCTGAACCCTGCAGCTCAGCACGTGCAGCCAGTGTGTTTGGTGCACTTACATTTAAAATAAAAAATTACTTAACAAAGAATGAACGTTTCAGGAAGGCTGAGAAGCTGCGTGCCCGATGCTGGCAGCAGCAGGAAGAAGAGGTGACTGTCACTAACTGTACCTCGTGTGTGACAACGCTGTCCACGGGCAGCTCAGCCAGGGCTGCCACCTCCCGAGCCAGGCTGAACATTGCTTTGTCCTGCAGCTGCTCCAGAATGGAGCTGCACTCCTCCTGGAAGGCCTGCAGGCTGCAGGAGGTCAGGATGGAGCGGCTGATGGAGATGGAGGAGTCCCTCAGAGCCTCACTGAGGGCACAGAGCCTCTTCACGTGGGGACCTGTGTTAAAGAGAACAGCTCAGGAGAGCTGAGCCCCGGGGGAGGCCGAGCTTCCCTCAGGATTCAGCCCTGCCAGAGGGGCCGGGCTCCACGGTGTCCTCACCATCCAGCAGGAGGTTCTCTGTGGCAGCCAGGAGCTGCAGGAGCTTGCCCAGCTCGTAGTCGGTGCGGCTCTGCTGCAGCATCAGCTCCAGCAGGAACAGCGCCTGCGAGCGCAGCCACGGCCCCGGCACCTCGGGGGCCGCCCCTGCCGCGGCTCCCAGCTGCGGAAACAAGGGGGCAAGGCTCAGGGGTCCCTTTCCCTGGGGAACAAGGCCCTGCTGCTCCCTCACGGGGACATCGGAGGTGGCAGCAGGACCAGCAGTAGCCAGGCAGAATTAATGAACTGCTGGACAAACAGTCCCTGCCGCTGTCCAAGCACAGCTCGTGAAGGGAAAGGGAACTGAGCTGCTGAGGTGCAGGAAGGAAACCCACTCGTGACAGGGAATGTTAGTTAGCAGCATACTCAGGGAACCAGAAAAGTGGGATGGAAAGAATTGTTCAAACATCTGCACTGAGAGACAAGGAGCAGGCTGTGAAAACTCTCAGCCCAGCTGCTAAATCCCAGCAATGACATTTAGAGAAAATCCGTGTCCTTACTTCTGTGAGGCTTTCCTGAAATTTCTCCAGTTTGGTTTTAGCTTCGTTGTACTTTTTACAGTTCATGCACAGTTCATACATCTCCAGGATGTGCAGCAAAGGGGAATCCTTTAACACAAAAAAACCAGATGATAAATTCCCAAAAGTACCTCAATAAATAAATCATACTTTAAAAAAAATCATCTATTATTTCATTCAATAAATGTAGAATTTGTTTCCTCAGCAGCAGAACAATGAAGTTTTAATTTATTAAAATTGCATGCAAGGTTGATGTAGGATCTACAAATCTGTGACAACTGGAAGAACTTCTAATTTGGCTGGGAATTTCAGTGGACAGCCAGGTTATCCTTGGCACAAAGCAAGATAGAAGGGGATTTACAGGCCCAGGAGGTGCGAGACACATCAAATATACCCTGAAACCACATTCCCTCACCTTCAAAAAGAGCTGGAAGCCATTGAGAAGTGTTTTACTCTTTTGCTTCCTCAGGAGGACTTTCCAGATGGCAGCGAGGTCCTGCAGGTCCCACTGGGGACTCCCTGCCAGGCTCTGGGTGTGGGCGGTGGCCTCAGCCCTGGTGGCACCATCCACAGAAGTGATGATCCACACACAGAGGCAGGAGATGGGGTTTGCATCCTGCAAGTGCCAGAAGGATGGGTTTATAGCCCAGCTGCCCGCTGGAAGGGGTCCCACAGGAGCAGCAGCAGGTTTGAGGCAGGTGCAGGAAGCTCCTGCTCTCTCCTCAACAGGTAACTCACGGGGCAGCAGGCTGCCAGCACGCTGAGGATGGGCGCGTGTGCCCGCAGCCCCTCTGCCAACAGGTGCCAGCAGGGGCTGGGCTCCTCCTGGCACTGCAGCAGCACCTGGAACACGCTCCCTGCACGGGCAGCCTCAGCACACAGCAGCTTGCCCAGGGCCAGCAGCAGGTGATCTCGTAGCACGGGAGGGAAATCCTGCAGGAGGGGAACGACCTGTTGGGGAAAAGCACCAAAACTTCGTCAGGCTCAGAGGAGAGGGCAGGAGGATGGAAGCACTGAATACACAAAGACAAAACACTCTTCAAATCTGGTTTTTAGAACAGCTTTGGAGACCTAGAGAGGAAAACGGGTTCTGTAGGTGTGAATTATTATTATTAAAAAATTATTCTAATTATTTAGATTATTCTAATAAATAATTATTCTAATGAAATTATTATTATTAATGAAATAATAATTCTAATGAAAGATTGAAGCTCATCCTTTTCCACAAAGCTCAAATGTCTCCTAGAGAACCTCAGCTCTGTTCTCTCTTGTAGGGCAGCAACAGAGCATGAAAAGGGTCTACTTTAGTAGTTACAGATTCTTCAAAACAACGAGGAGATCCAAGTTAAAATCCTAGGCCTGCTAAGCATCATCTTACCTGGAATTACCCAGTTAGCTTCCTCACATGGCTTTTCCCAATTGCTTTTATGGAAGTATTTTATTCATTTTTAAATCACATTCAAAACCAAAGGTGGAAAAATTGGATTCTCAAAAGTTTAAGTATCTTTACCAAGAAATCAATTTGCATTTTGAAAGGAAAGATGAGTGGCTTTATTATAACTTACACTGAACATCTGGCAGCTCTTCAATTAAAAAAAGCAGTAACTGCTTGAGTTTAAATTTATTTGGCTGCAAGGGAAGGGCTACCACAGGCCAAGGGTTTCAATATCCCAAGAGAACCAAAGCCCAGGAACTGCTGAGGCCCCTGTTGTCTCCACACTGGGATATCCTCTTGCTACAAGACTCAGTTTAATGCACCCCCGGCTCACCTGGGCTGGCTGGTGGCCGTGGAGCTGGGTCTGGACGAGGAACTGCAGCCACTCGTTGGATTTGGCACATTCCCTCAGGAAGGACGTGCTCAGCTCCAGGTTATGGACTCTGCAGAACTGCATGACCAAGGACCACTGCCTTCTGGAGTCACTGGATGTCCTGCAGGGAATTCAGAGAGCTTCAGCTGCCATGAGCTGCAGTATTTGCAGCAGATGTTCAGGTGTGAAGTGACCCTGTGACCCTGCACACAGCCCTGGGAGCTGCCACTGAGGCAGGCACTGTCCTGTCCTGGCCTCTTTGCTGTGCCCTGACACACAAACACCAGTGAGCAGCCAGTGCTCAGCCCCCTTCCCCAGATAACCCCTCAAACCAGGCTGCTCTCACCTCTTTACTCCTTGCTGCTCAATGCCATCCCAGAAGGCCTCCTCCAAGGAGCTCAGAACTGCTGCTGCTGCTGCTTTTTCACCATCAGCCAACTTTGTAAACTTCTCAGCTGTTGAGGAGAAGACATTCCTGAGTTGCTGTTTGGGCTCAGAGCCAGGGCAGCGTTTCCAAGGGTACTGGTTGGGAAAGCAGCCACCTGTGGCCCTAGAGTTAGAAATTCAACTTTCTGAAGTTATTTCTAGGATAAATTTAATTTCCCTACAGCTTTGAACACCTGATCTCCCTGCAGGTGTAAGACAGCTTTCAAACAGGAGGGAGAAAGGAGATTTGGCATTTGTTTAACTCTGTGGAACATCATTACAAGGCTGAACCTCACTAATATCAGCCTTAGCAGCTGCTGGACAGTGTCTGTTAGCTCCTGATACAGCTGTATCACTCTTCCTGCCTTACCCCACACCACAGGATCAACGTGCACCTTCAAAATTAGTACAAAACCAGGAACAAAAGAACAGCAAAGCTCTCAGATGCTTTTACTGCACTTGCTGAGCCAGCAGGCAGCACCTCTGCACCCTCCCCACTGCACAGCAGCCAAAGGCTCCTTACCCAGGCTGTCCCTGTGGCTGTGGTGAGAGCCCTCGCTCCTGCTCCTGTGGGTGCCGATGCTGCTGGCAGCTCTGAGATCCACGCGCAGCCCCAGGCTGTCCAGCCCCAGCAGCTCCAGGAAGCACACGCAGGCTGCTGCCACCGACGGGACACCCAAGGAGGACAGGGCCACCAGCCGGGCCTCCCGTGCTGCCTGCTGGACCCTGCAAGGAGCAGCACACACACACGGGGAGCTGCAGCTGTGTGCTCCTCTGAACCCCACAGCCATCAGCCACAAAGAGAACCCTCAGCCACCACTTCCATGTTTACAGAAAATGGGGGGGTGGGAATGAAGGCTCACACGTGACAAGCAGAGTTTGCAATTCAGTACATTTATCAAAAGCTAAAGGCAGTGGAATTGGTGTTAAAATTCACTGAACATCCCCTCAGCAGCTGAGGGCACAAAGAGATCTGCACATTTGCAGATTTCCAATCCACTGCAGCACCAGGAAGCCGAGTCTGACCTGCAGATGGTGCCAAGAGAAAAATGTACCCAAAGGGTTTTCCCACAGCAGCCACTGAAATAATCCTGTGTCCCTGAACTGCTGAACCATTGTTTCACTCTGCATTAATGCCTGCTTCCCTTTTTGCTCCAGTTTTACCTGTTTACACAAGAGAAACCGATCTGTGTGGAAACGATGGAGAGAAACAAACAGTGACTAATGCACAAACCAGACATCCCAGAAACAAAGTGATTTCTCCTAATTCTCACACTAAACAGCGAATTCCAGGTATTCAAGCAAGATGTGCCATTTGACTGTAACCCTTCTGAACACCTGATTTTGAAGCTTCAGCCAGAACATTTAAATCCATCAGCCTCCAGAGCACTTTTTCCCTTTTTTTGCCTTACTGATAAACTAAAGAATTAGGAAATTTCAAAGGACATTAGGAAATGTCAAAGAAAAGGAGCATCACTCTCCTACAAAGTCATCTAGGGGCTCAGGTTCCTAAAAGAAGAGCCCACCCACGTTTGATCTGACTGGAATATTTTCCTCGCTTCCCTTGTGCGGATTCCACTGCGGTAATTCCAAACTCGGCTCTCCTCCTTTCAGGTGCCACCTGATTTCTGACCTTTAGGACACACCCAGGGGCTGCTGGGGAGGGTGAATCCCCCCGTGCTCAGTTCTGTGCCTGCTGAGGACACTCACAGCTGCCTGGGGGCTTTGCTCCTGGCCAGCTGCTGCAGGAAGGTGCCGAAGGCGAAGGCAGGGCGGCCGTGGCGCAGGTAGAAGAGGAAGCCCAGCCTCTCCACCACGGCGTGCCTGCTCACCAGCTCGGGCCAGGAGAAGTGGGGCAGCTCGCTCCAGGCATCTGGAATGACACAGCAGCACCAGCAATGACAACAATGAACAACAATGTTCAGTGACAACAGCTGAACCCAACAGCAGCAGCTCCTGCGGCTGCAGAACGTGGGGCAGGATCAAACGCGGCTCCCCAGCTCTCATCCAGACCTTGGCAGACCCAAATCCACACCAAAACCCCACTCCTCGCTGGAAAATCAGAGCTCTGCATCACCTCAGCTTGCTTTTAAAATAAAACAGTGGTTTTCTTTCTGATATTTAGAGAAAGATCTGCCTGTGAAGAGCTTAATGCAAAAATCTAGAATTCTAGTTCAAAACCCAGTTTTAGTAAATTACACTATTTTTCCTGTGAAAGAAATGGCCTTTTGAGTAAATTTATCTGCCAAATAATTCCCCTGGAACGCAATTTGTTTTGGGTGCTTAGGCTAGGAAAGCATGTAAACCTTGGCAGGAAACATACCTGACACAGCAAGAGTGTTTGTTGATTGCCAGCCAAATAATTTTGTGGGATCAAAGGGCATTAATGACTGAAAGATCAGAAACAAAATATATTGAGGCAGCTTAAGAATTTCACATCACTGTCCTATCTAATTCTCAATTTCTGATCCTCTTACCGTTACAAACATCTTAAAATTTAAATATTGTAATTTCTGCAATATTAAACACCTTGCCCACTGAGCACTGCAAGAATATCCCTCTCTGCCATTCCAGCAGTGCCAAGTCACAGGGTGTAGAGACCACTTGAAAAAGCAGTTCAGGATGAAGCTGGGAACTTCAGCTCCACATTAAGCATCCCAAAACAAGCCCTGGCTCCCACCCCCTTCAGCTGACACCAAACTTCTCTTTCCTTGTGTCCTGCCAAAAGCACTTTGTGTACCTGCAGAAGGTGGTAGAGAGAGATGTCAGGAGGCAAAATTCCATGAGCAGTGCAGGAGGGAAAGAGAGCAGCCTTCAGCTTGGGGTAAGGGGTCAAGGCCATTTTTAAGAGCTGGGGATCAACTTTCTTCAGAGGTTTTTCTGTATCTTCGTTCTGAAGGACCTACATTGCAAGCAAACAAAATTAATTAGGAGGAAACTGCACTAAATGACAACAAAACAACTTTGGGGTGTGCCAATCTCCCTCAGGGGAATTTGACATGCAGTGACAACACAGAAAGCATCATCTTTTTTCCTGTAAAATGTTCTCAAATTGTATCAGCCCCATCTTCCCCAGCAGCTGATGCTGCAGGTGCCTGTGCTGTGACACTCTGGCCATTCCAACACGTGGCTCAGGGGACATTTTCTATCAAAGCCACGAGGGCAGGGCAGCAGCAGGACAGGGATCAGGGCCCCAGGTGCCCCAGGCAGTACCTGGTCGATGCCCCCAGGCCCGTACACGGTGGTGGCCAGGGCCAGCAGGGTCCTGCCCTCCAGCAGGATGCTGCTCACACCCCCCTGGCTGCTGGGAATCAGCATCTGAGCATTGGCCAGACTGGCCTGGAAAATCATCTTGGGATCTTCAAAGAAAAAAAAAAAAGTGACACTTAATTCCATGCAAAACCAGTGTTAAATCATCAATCACATGTTACAGCTGTCCTCTGACTGCGAAAAATGCTGAATTTTCTATTTTTTGTTGTCCATACTGATTTTCCTCTCTTTGCCAATAAGCACAGGTAAGATGAGCTAAGGTTTACCAAGCTTTCCCTGCTCAAACTACAGCTTTGCCTGCCCAGGGGTTGAGCCCCACAGTTTAGCACTGGAGTGCTTCAATTCTTTATCCTACACTGATCACACTTCCTAAAAAAAACCTTCACTTGGGATTATTTTTGTCTTTTGTAAATGTGACTCTGAAGAAGATGAAATGTTTAAAAAGCACGATGAGTTAGGGGCACAAGTTCTACTGGCTTTCAGTAAAGCCAACACATAATCCAAGGGCAGAGAAATCAACATGTACCACAGGGACTAGAGGAAGGTTTCATTCCAATGGGATGTGTATTTTCTCATGAATTCTCCCTTCTGTTCAATTCTCCCTTCTTGTTCAGCCTCTTGGGAACGTGACTGAGCTGGAGGTAACGATGATCCTACACAGAATGATTCTCACTTCTGTGCAGCCTCCAGATCTTCAAGGGCAGTTCAAGCAGGAATCACAACCCAGATTTCAGAGATGAGCAAGTGATGGACAGGGAGGTGGCTGGCCATGGCCAGAGGGTTTGCAGCAGGGCAGAGGTTTAACCCAGCTGTGCCCAACCCTGGGCTAGGGCAGGAGCATCAGCCCCGCTCTGCAGCGAGATCCCTACCTCGGGGATTGCTGGCAACCCCTCGGCACTGCACGAGGAACTCAAACCAGGGATGGGCTTCGTGCAGCTCCTTGTTATCCAGGATAGGGCAGCTTGAAGGGGTTAAACTGGAAATGAATGAGCAGCAGAGTGAAAACACAGGACTTGTAACCACTGATGTAACACAGCATTAAAGATCTGCAGCATCCCATGGGTGTTATGCCAAATACAAGTGGTTAGACAAACCAGAAAATGAGTTAGTGGCTTTTTTTCTGTCCACTTCTACATTCCTGATAATTCCAGCGTTAGACTGGAGTTAGAGCTCAGAAATTTTAATTGCCAAGTATCCATTCATTGGGAAGTATTCATCCAATACCTAACACTGGTTACACCTTCAAATCCCAGCTAACCCTGGTTTAGGTGGAAACCAGCAATTTCCTTATTTGAACATATCAGGAGTAAATTCACACTTGTGCTTAAGAAAGTTTCTGAATTCTGTATATTCTGAGCTTCTGAAGAGCAACTTGGCTCATTTAGGATTGTACTGCTTACAGCATCACACTAATTACAGCTGCAATTGTTTCTTTTTGTGACTGACACGCAAATTAATATTAAGACAATCTGAATAAAGCTGCAAAATATGGCTTAAAATCTCACACACTGCCCCAGAGTTTCTGTGAAATGACGCTGCCAGGGCTGAGGAAAACTCTCCCTACCAACTCTTCAAGTTGTGTTTCCTCCTTCAAATCCGGGATCCCTCGCGGGATTTGAGGGATGGGAAGGGTTGCTACCTGTAATAGTCCAGGTAAGTGTAGAGCAGGTACTGCAGGCTGTGCTCCAGGCAGTGCAGGACAAACTGGCCATGGAAGTCCAGGCCACTGGCAGTGCTGTATTTTGGAACAGGGTGAGGATTCTGCAGGACTCCCCCCAGGCACGACAGCCTCTGGAGCAAGAGCTCAAAATCTTCCAGCTCAGAACGGACAAAGATTCCCTTTCTGTCAGAAAAAAGCACAGACACTGATCACACAGCTCTCTTTGACAAGTTCAGTTCTCTTTGACAAGTTCTGATGGGTGCTTTCAGCCCAGAATTAGAGCAGACCTTTCCCTCTCAGGCATTAATTCCCCACTGAGACAAACACAATGTGCCAAAATCCATCTGCTTGTGCCCCAGCAACACTGTGATCACTGCAGAGAACCAGCTGTGAAATGCTCAGAATTTCCCCCTTCCATTAAAGCTGGAATTAGGAATATATCCATTGGGAAACATCCAGGGGCTGAGGGAGGAGTGCTCTTAGTGTTTCAGACAACCCAAAGTAGAAGACTAAAATCACACTTACCCATGGATTCGTGCTGTTTCCAAAAAGAGCAGTATAAAAATTACTATGTGTCAAGGATTTTATTTCTGATTTTGGCTTCACACAGGAAGGAGAGAGAGTGTGAAGCCCTGGGGGCCCTACCTGGCCAGCTTGTTCAGGATGTCCTGTCTCATGTAGGTGCTGCACACAGTGCTCCTGTCAACGATGTCAGGGCTCAGGGGGGGCCAGGCAGAGCGGCCACACGGAGCCTGGCTGGGCTCTGACTCCTCAATCCAGGAGCAAATGCTGACCCAGTCATGCTGGGCTGTCAGGTGCATCCAGAGGGCCTCAGGACTGCAGGTCTTGAGTTCTGGGTTTCAAAAAGGTGAATGCATGAAATCAGCACACACAAACACTTCTGAGGGAAATACTGGGATTTTCTTACACAGAATTGTGGAATGGTTTGGGCTGGGACCTTAAAGTGCATCAAGTTCCTTGGGCAGGGACATCTTTCACCATCCCAGCCTGGCCTGGGCCACTGCCAGGGATCCAGGGCCTGCCCACCCTGCCAGGGAACAATTCCTGCCCAAAATCCCATCCAGCCCTGTCCCCTGGCACTGGGAGCCATTCCCTGTGTCCTGTCCCTCCAGGTACCAATTTTTAATGAACAGCTGTAAACATGGTGCTGAGATCAAGGCTACTGCTCCAGCTTTTGGAACCTCGTGCTGGCAGAGCTGGGAGTGGCTCCCCAGCACAGGGAGCAGGGCAGGACATGGCAGAGGGTGGCACTCACACGTGGCCATGCCTCAGCCAAGGCCCTTCCAGCCACTTCCAAACCCTTCTCTACAGGAAGAGCCCGGATCCAGGATGGAATAGGCTGAAAGCCATCGTTACCCACTTCCACTGGTAACACAAATAAGAAATAAGTGACCTCTGTGCCCCTGCCAGCCCCACACAGCGGCTGTGCTGTCCCAAAGAGATCCTCATTCCCAGTTTCAGCCCTCAGTGCCACAGTACTTGCCTTGGCGAGGTTTCCAGGGGAGCAGAATCATCTCCTGCAGCAGCTCATCCCACCAGAGAGCCCAGCTCAGCAGCACCCTGATCCTGCTGCTGCCCCGGCGCAGCTGCGAGCCCAGCACTGCCTGGTGCCTGCACAGCTCCTGCTGCTGCCTCCTGCAGCTGCTGAAACTGCAACGGGCTGGGGTCAGCCTGGCCTCAGCCCCCCAGCTCAGCACAGCTCCCTGAGGGTGCCAGAGGGACTGACTCCAGCTCTGACAGCTAAAGAGCTGCCTCGTTTTCCCAAAGCTGACATAACAAATTATCAGTATCATAACGGTTTCACCATTATTTAACTGGAAAAGGATTTCTGCAGCTTATTTCCTTTGCTGTGCTACAGACATCCTAGATCAAAAACAGAGCAAACATCTGAACACAAATAACTGAGTAGTAATTCTAGTATTATTATTAAAAACTCTTCATTTGAAGCAGAAGAGCTCTGTCACCCTCACAATAGTTTGTCATGACTCACACAGGAGTTTGTCATGAGAGAACATGAACTGCTACATTAATGAGAAAATGACTCAGTCCCCACACTGACTCTGATTTCTGCAAATGTGCAGTGTGAAATCAATGAAGCTAAAGACTGTATCTGTTAGTGCAGTAAATCCCACAGAATGTAGAATCCAGCACATTTTAAACCCTATTAATGCTATTAATTAATTATTAAAATTAATAACCCACATTACCTGGAAAGAGACTGAGTCTCTTTATTTTCCTGGAAGGATTCTGAGTAGAAGCTTTCAACCTGATGCACAAAGTCTATCATTTTCTTCTCTTTTTCAGAAAAATAGTTTTCTTCTTGTAAGACTTTCACCTTTAATTCAAATTAAAGCATTACCTCCAACTGTTAAAGTATTACCTCCAATTGCCCCCAGTTTAATCTGTCTTTAATACATTCCAGTTGTAAATGATCCTGCAAGTGCAAACAACAACCAACTGCAGGAAAAAAATGCTGGAAGCAGAGAGCAATACACTTAAATGGCAAGAGGACTCCAGACTGTGTGAGAGAACCTGATCAGAGCCAGGACAAATAAATGACATTTGAACAGCTCTGTACTTTAACTGCAAATGGACAGGGACAGGGATGCTCCAGGAGGAGGAAGGCACAAGCCCTGGCTGTCTCTGCTCTGAAGGTCAGCTCAGTCTCAGCACAAACACACCCCAGGCTCCAGGGCTCAGACCTGGACTGGAGGAGCCTTTGCTGCACTCACCAGGAGCTCCCGTACGTGTTTGTCCTCTGTGTGGAAGCAGATCTTGTGCAGCTCCTGCTTCACGTCGAAGCCCTGGCACAGAGAAGACACCCACTGTAAAATGTGCCAACAGAATACACTGGAAAGATCAAACACAGAATACACACAGCTGCTTTCCTTCCAAAGCACACAGCCCTGACAAACAGGCTTGTGACAGGCCCTGCAGCAGCTCCCACAGGGATGTCCCCGATGTCCCCAAAGCCTGGGACACCTCCCCAGGCAGAGCCACCCTGACCCTGCTGCTCAGCAGCTCAGCCAACACACCCCCATGGCCAGGCTCGCTCAGCAGCCCCTCAAAGAATCCCATTTTCACTGCAATCCCACCTGGTTCTGGTGGAGCCAGTGGACCCAGAGCAGCCCCAGAAGCTCCCCGTGCTCCTCGCCAGCCCCACCCCAGCAGCTCTCACCAGGTTCCTCAGCAGCTGCGAGGCCTCCCTGGTGCTGCCCTTCAGCAGACAGTCATAGGCCAGGCTCAAACCCGTCTGGATAAACTCCTGCAGACTCTCAGCAGGATGCTGCTGCCTTCGGAAGAAGATCTGGGCCTCTGGCACTTTGTTGCTCAGGATGGCCTCGGCAATGACCTCCTAAAGGGAAAAACAAGGAACAAACGGATCTATACCAGCCCTGTGCTGATCTTCTTCCCCTGTCCTTTAAGGTATTTCCACGTAAATCATCTCCTAATATAAACTCCATCACAGCACTAAAATCTGGGTGACTCAGTTTCACCTCTGGTGTCAGTTTTTCCCATTCTTGGCTCTCTTCTATCTCAGGCAGGTCTTCATCCAGGTCAGCTGCCGTGTGCCCCGGAGTCATCGGTGCTCGAGGATATTTCCTCAGGAATTTTCTCAGTTTAATGATGTAGTCAGTTAAAATATCTGCAGCCTTCTGCAGGGATTCATCAGGTTCTGCCAAAAGCACCCAAGACATCAATAAAATGGGAATGAACAGACAGATTTTAATGTCTAGCAATGCTGAATTAATGAATGTGCTGATTAATAAACAGAAACCCCTCGGAGGGAAGAGCACATCAGCTCTGTCCCCTGTGCAGGCAGTGACAGCCCAGCACTCCCAGCACACAGGACACAGCCACAACCCCACAGAGCTCCCTGCCCTCACTCAGGGGTTTTCCTGCCCAGGGACCAGTAAAGGAGAACTGAAATTTTGTATTAATCCAACCAGATATTAGTCAGGTAAGTCCAATCTAAAAGACAGGGATGAGCATCTTTCACTCACTTAATTCTAGTATTTTTATGTTAATTCTAGGCAAATTTAAGCTTTTAATTAAAAGAATTAGCTGCTCTTACTTAAATGATGAAATGATGACACTACTAGATATGACCCAGCAGGAGGGATCTTACCCTGTGTGTGCACAAAGATTTCCTCCAGCTGCTTGGTAAGGAAGGTCAGGGTGAGGCTCAGGAGCTGCTCAGAGAACTGCTTGCTGTGAGGCTCCATGTCACTGTCCTGGATTGCTGAGCAGAGCAAGTTTAAAGCTGGCCTGAGCTCCTCCAAATCTGCAATGGTTCCACAAACAGTTCACACATCTGCAGCCCACACCCAGCCACAGGGAGAGAGGGAATGAAATGCACCTCGGTGTATTTGTCAGAAGGAAATGCACCTCGGTGTATTTGTCAGAATGAAATGCACCTCGGTGTATTTGTCAGAAGGAAATGCACCTCGGTGTATTTGTCAGAATGAAATGCACCTCGGTGTATTTGTCAGAATGAAATGCACCTCGGTGTATTTGTCAGAAGGAAATGCACCTCGGTGTATTTGTCAGAAGGAAATGCACCTCGGTGTATTTGTCAGAATGAAATGCACCTCGGTGTATTTGTCAGAATGAAATGCACCTCGGTGTATTTGTCAGAAGGAAATGCACCTCGGTGTATTTGTCAGAAGGAAATGCACCTCGGTGTATTTGTCAGAATGAAATGCACCTTGGTGTATTTGTCAGAAGGAAATGCACCTCGGTGTATTTCTCAGAAGGAAATGCACCTCGGTGTATTTCTCAGAACGAAATGCACCTCGGTGTATTTGTCAGAACGAAATGCACCTCGGTGTATTTGTCAGAACGAAATGCACCTCGGTGTATTTCTCAGAAGGAAATGCACCTCGGTGTATTTGTCAGAACGAAATGCACCTCGGTGTATTTCTCAGAATGAAATGCACCTCTGTGCAGCTGCAGCTTCTTCACTTACTTCTCAGGTAGGACTGGGAGGTGCCATCCCCAGGGTGCTCAGGCCCAGGACAGGGTGCAGACAGACTGAAAACGCTTTCTTTGCTTTTTAAAAACAAGTCCACTGTGTCCAGCTGGCGATTTTCCAAACCTGCCTAGACAAACACGAAACAGAACAATCAAGAAGGGATTCTAAACCCATACACTGAGCACTTCCTGCTGGAATTCTTACTCCATCCTCAGTGACAAACTACGAACACAGAAAAGCAGAAGGGATTTAAACTCTGTGTGCAGCACCTGCAGCCTGAAATAACAAGGTGACCTGTAGAGTACCTGGCAGGCTCCTTTGACCCCTGCCCTGCATCTTCACACACAAAATGTTATTGCAGCAATATACAGTAAATGCTATGAGAATCAGGACTCTGAATAAGCTCACAGCAATTTTACATGAACAGTACAGTAAAGCCAGAAATCCAGTTCCAAGGATTTCTTTTCATATTTAACACTTTGCAAAAGGACAAAAACTGCTGCAGAAATTGGCAAAATTGCTTTTGGGTCCAACTAAGAGGGAATTGTGAGCACTGCTGCATTTTCTTTTATTTTATTAAAGTGCATTCACTTTGCTGCTCTGTTTCTTCCTTTGGGTTACTCATCTGCTTATTTAACAACTGTTAAATTAACTGTTTTACTGCTTATTTAACAACTAAACCACTTCCTTTTGCCCCTGCGTTCGAGGCATGATTTTAACTGTGTCTAAACCCACCCTGCTTGAAATGCAGAGTTTATTCTTTGGCAGCTTTCCTTACCTCGAGGGCATGGATGGGAATGGAGCACCTCTCCCAGCCATTGAGGTGACACACGGCATCCACGACTGCGGCGCTGCCGAACATCATCAGCCTGCTCAGGAACTCCTCCTGAGTCAAACCAAACAGGACCAGGGACAGACCACGCTCTGAACGACAGAACCAAGCCACAGCTAAGGACAGAGCAGCCTCTCCCTGGGCAGCAGCATTTCTACCCACTGCTGCTTCCAAAAGAGCGAGGCAAAGCTGCAGCGGCTGTGTTTGGATTCCAGCCGAGCAGGAATGCAATGCAAGCTACCCAACAGCAGCCAGGCAAACAGGTAAAACACTGAAACCCTGAAGCAGCTGTGTCAGGACAGTTTATGGCCCCTCACCTGTCAGCAGCAGGCACAGTGGCAGCTCTGCACTGCACTCCACGTAGACACTGCTCCTGCCGAAGTGGGAACACGTCACGTCCTGGGACTCAAAATCCCAAAGCGCCAGAGACAGCCCCGTGTCCTGTGCCAGCACCACAAACACAGCTTTAGCTGCAGTCACCAGTTTACACTCCAGTTTGACCATTTCCTGGGGTGCTGCCACGGGGATCTGTGCCCACTGCTGTCCTGCATCCCCACGGGCCGTGCCCTGGCTTTGGAGCGCCCGGGAAGCCGCCCACGTAACAGCCCGGGGAACAAAGGCCACCATCCTCTCTGGATCATCACAAATTGCAGGATCGTGATCTTCAAGATGGGTAAAAAACTGATACCAAGGCAAATTCCAGTTGTTCACTTGACTGGAGTGAAAATCTGGAGAAGCTGGTGTTCTTCTTCTCCTTACTCTGTCCCACAGTGAGGACAACTGTGCCTTCCAGGACCTGCCGAGGGCACAAAGTCACCTGTAACACCAAGAACTCCAAGAACAAGGCAGGCAAAGCTTTCTCAGTTAAATAAAATGCACTTTGAGCTTATAAAATCCATCCAGCATCCTGCATTTTAACCTTACCATGGCCTCTTTATCCGCACTTAAATACTCCCTGCAGCTGAATGATCACAGATGCATCAGCTGACAACATCCATGTTTAGCATTTCTAGGAAAAAGTTCTCTTTTCCACACAGAAAATGCCCCATCAATCAAAAAACAGAATTAATTCCAGAACTGAATCTTTCTTATCCACACATCAAGTTGTAACTGACATGCTTCATTAGTATCAGTAAGACTCAAAGGTAACCCCAAAGCAGCAATCCCTGAAGCTGCTCAATGCCGTACGTAAAGCTTAGTCCACCCTAAATTCAAAAGGTTTACAGCAGAATGGGCTGATTTCACCTGTCACAACTACAGCTGAAAGAACAAATCAGCAGTTTATTATCAGTGACCCAAGGGAGGCAAAGCCCTGGCTGTGTCAGGAGGTTCTTCCCCTCCGTACCTGTCTGTGCGGAACGGCTGTGACAGCAGCTCCATGCTGTGCTCAGAACTGGCCAGCTCATCCTCATCCAGCCCCTCTGGAGGCTGCACTGGAAGATTTTCTGGATCCCTCTTACAGAGCAAATGTTCAGGGAACTGTCTGTAAAGAAATAAGTACGAAATTTCACCTTGCTCAGATGATTTAAGGTGTTTTTTCACGTTTAAGTCCTCCAGGAGCTCTGGATGCAGTTTTTTCTCAGGATAACAGGTGGGCCACCAAAACCTGCTGCTCCTTCCTCTGAGGCTGACACCACCTCTTAATTACCACCTGGCCCTAATTTATCAAGCTAAATCAACACAGTAGAGTTTGATAATTCTGTAGCCCACAGTATTTCTAAAAGGTGCTACCACCCACCCCTGGCACTGGGAGCACCTCATCTTCCTGGAAAAAAACACAAAGGGCAAGATAAAGTTTATCTAGTTGTTAACAGCTAGATTAAAATAAAGAGATGTGGTACATTTTCCTTTGTGAAAGTGACAGAGAATAAATCAGAGCAAACAGCAAAAGGACAATTTTCAAACAAAGAGGAAGTTTCTGCTCTAGCACAGGATGAAAAGCTGCCAGCACTGCCCTGGGAGCTGACCTGAAGTAGGAGTTGAGCTGCACAGCCAGGGCACGGTGGCAGGTGCCGGTCACCACGGCCGTGCTGAGGTCAGGGGACACTGCCAGGCCAGCCAGGGGAGCCCCAGGGGCTGGGCCCTGCCCCTGCCCAGCTCCCAGGGCCACGCTGACCTTCCCTAAGGTGGCACCATCAGAGCAGCCAAATATGTCTGCAAACAGCATCAAGGAAAAGCCCTGGAGTGCCCAGCAGAGGAGTTACCCACCAGGGGAAGGTGGTGAATTCTGGCTCCAAGAGGAGGGACACACAACCTGACTTTACTGTACTTGAATGTGCCAGAGAAGATGCCCAGGAACAGGCTCAATCCAGGTGGAAGTGCCAGGTCTGGGCCCCTGCTCATCCCAACACACAGACCTGCCTCCCAGGCTCTGATCCCTGCAATCACATTCATTAATCTGAATTAAGCAATCAGGTGGCAGTAGAAGTCAGGCTGTTATACCCAGGCCCACAAATCAAACCTGAATGAAACCCATGAATCCAGAGGGAAGCAGATCTCCAGTGGGGTGCTGGGAAACCCAACACAACTGTGGCCCCTCACTACAACAACCAGGACGTGGCCACACAACCTTCTTCACAGGCATCACTTAAACGTCTTTAAAAAAATTCTGCTCAGCCCTGACAGCAAAGAAAAGCAACTTTGTTCTTCCAGATGATTCTCCCTGATCTCTCCTGCAAAGGATACAAATCCAGCCAGCACTGTCCAACAGGAACAGGATCCCCCTGCAGAACTGGGAGTCTGTTACTCTCGCCACAGCTTCTGGAGGCAGAGCCAGGGGGAAGCAGTCACAGGTCTCTGGGGGTGAGTCCTCCCCAGGAAAGGTCAAGTGCACAAGGATAAACTGGTTGAGCAGAAGTTTGCACTTGTTACTTCCAAAGGACAGAATCTTCATAGAGAAAATTGAAGGCAGACCTGTAAATTTAAAGATATTTAAAGTTTGTATTACAGCCAGGGACTTTTGATTTGTAAAGGGATCCCAAGAAAATGACAGCTCAAATTCATTGTCCCAGTTACCATCCTAACAGATTGTGAGTTGGGGTGGTTGGTTTTAAATCTCATTTTCTGTGCCAGGGACATTAATTCTAGAACCATTTCCCAAAACTCTTTATGTGGCTTTTTCAGTGGACAATACTATTAAGGACATAAAAAATCAGCACAAAATAGGATTTCAGTAAGCACTGAGAGGAAAAGCTACAAACTTTGGAAATAAAATATTTTAGGAAGGGAGACTGTTTAAGAACAGCAAAGGTCTAACTGCACACTATGTTTGCTAATCATAAAATACAAGGTTAAATGTTTAATTAGTCTTTGCAGGGTTATTGATGAGCCCTGGCTCTCTTTTCTTCCCATCAGTCCCAATATTAAAGTTAAAATTTGAAAGAGCAGGGTTGCATATATTTTCTTAAAATTTATTTTTAAAACTTTGTATCACTCAAACATGACCCTGAAAGAGTTTAATTATGAAATGTCCCCATTATTTTTCAATTCCACGAATCCTGCTGATCACACTGGATCAGTGTGGAGGTACCCGAAATTCCCTAGTGCTCAATCCCATTCCCTGATCCACCCCAGCAGGAGCAGCAGAACCAGCCCTGCAATATTCCACACGTGCAACAGACTGAAATTTACTCACTGATGTTTTTAGCTTCAAGGAGCTTTTTAAGCGTCTCTTCCTTACAACTGTGCAGGGAATTCGGGTTGTGTTCTCCATCTTCTACATTGAATTCATAGACAAACAGGTCATGGTTTTGACCAAGAGCCAGGAGTTTTGTCTTGTTTGAGTGCGAACCATCATCATCTGCGCTGTCCCACACGAAGCTGAAGATAAAACATTCAGGAAGGTTATTGCCTTTATTCCCTCTCCCCATCTCCCAGCTGAACAGTTCTGGACGTGCACTGGTGATGGGGAACACCTTCACTTCAGCAGGGAAACTTCACTGCTGCCACCCTGTCCCTCCCAGCACTGGAACTGCTTCATCCCTGGCAGGACAGAGCCTGAGCAATCCCAACTCCTCCTCCTCCTCCTCCTCTCTAGGATAAAGGGCTCTCCACCCTGGTGTGTTTTGCACTTTAGTCACGCAGGACACGAGGGATGTTTTGTTTCAGGATTTCCAGGAGGGAAAACCTCCCTGCTGGCAAGGGAGAGCAGAACACATTGTCCATCCCCAGATTTCTCCCTGTTTTTGAGCCGAGGAATTCTCCAGGTGTGTCGCAGCTGCTCCGTGGTGATGGGGAGGGGACAGAGAGGGACCAGCTCGGCCTGGGGCAGAGCAAAGCGGAGAGCAGAGCCGTGTCCCAGCCCCAGGCCAGGCTGCGGGGGCTCGGAGCAGCCTGGCCCAGCCGCAGGTGTCCGTGCCACGGGATGGGCCTCAGGGTCCCTCCGAGCCGAACCAGGCTGGGGTTGTGTGTCTGAGCAGCGCCGGTGCTGCGGGGCACCGCAAGGCTTTTGGCTGCCGGAGCAGATCTCGGAGGCACCGTGTGAGTGCCGAGTGGCACCGCGGCCGGCCCGGGGCACGCAGGGCTGTGGAGCCACAGCAGCCTTCCACAGAAACCCCCCGTGCTGTGGGCACACCCAGCACGGCCACAGCCCCGGGGAGCGCTCCCCGCTCCGAGGCCGCAGCCCCGGCTCCCCTGGCCCTGCCCGAGCCGCACTTACTCAGCCCAGGCTCCCGGCAGGACGCTGCCCCCGGCCCGCCCGGGCCCACCCGGCCACAGCGACTCCAGGCAGATCCCGCCGGGGAGCAGGAGGGTGCCCAGGGCGTCCCGGGCTCTGCTCAGCCGCACCCGCGCCCATCCCTGCGGCTCCTCCGAGCGGGGCACCAGGAGCACACGCAGCTCCGCCCGGGCCCCCGCCGCCATCCTCCTCCTCCTCCTCCTCCTTCCCCTCAGAGCCGCCCGGCACGGCCGCCCCTCGTTCCGGTCAGCTGGACGGAGCCGAGCCGCGACTACAACCCCCGGCACGCACCGCGGCGCCGCAATGCACGCTGGGAGCCGTAGTCCCCGCCGCACCGGTCTTTAAGCAGAACTCTCTTTAAGTAGAATTATCTCTGTCATTTCTGTGTCCCCACTCTGGGGCCGGGGCTGTCCTGGGGGGGTCCCTCTGTGTCCCCATTCTGTGTCCCCACTCTGTGTCCCGGGATCGCTCTTCGTGTCTCTCCGTGCCCCGAGGGGGTCTCTCCATGTCCCAGGGGGTTCCTCCGTCTGCCAGGGATCTCTCTCCCTATCCCGGGGTCCCTCTCCGTGTCCCGGGGGGGTGTCTCCGCCTGTCCCGGGTCCCTCTCCGTGTCCCGGGTCCCTGTCCCGGGTCCCTCTCCGTGTCCCGGGTCCCTGTCCCGGGTCCCTCTCCGTGTCCCGGGTCCCTGTCCCGGGTCCCTCTCCGTGTCCCCACCCCGCACGCGGCTCCCCGCGCGGACAGCGAGGCCACGCCCCTAACATGGGCGTGGTCTCCCAGCATCTCCCCGCCCATTGGTTCTCCTTGGCCACGCCCCTCGCGGCCATTGGCCAGCGCGCTGCCCCGCCCCACGCGGAAGTGCCGCGGCCCGCGGGCCGATGGCGGAGCGCGGCCATGGCGCTGGTGCTGGCGCTGCTGTCGCAGGCGCTGGGCCGGGTGTGGCGGAGCTCCGGCAGTAGCGCCCGCCATGCGCCCCCGAGCCGCGCCATGGAGCACGACAGGGCCATGGAGGTCTACGGTGACTGCCGGAGGGCGCGAGGGCCGCGGGGGGAGCCCCGGGGGTGGTCCCGGTTTGCCCTTGGGGGCCTGAGGGGAAGAACCGCGGCGGGTCCTGAGGGGCTCGGAGCCGTGAAGGGGCCCCGAGGGGCCGGGCAGGGGGAAAGGGCCGCGTTTGGCTCGTTGGGCTCCTTTGTTGTGGCTTCCAGAGTGGAACGCCAGCAGCGCTGGGAGGGGGCTGCTCACGAAAATACCTTTTTATGGAATGCGGGGAGAATCCTTATTGCTGCTCGTTTGTGCCTCAGATATAATCCGGACTATCCGGGACCCGGAGAAGCCCAACACTTTGGAAGAACTGGAAGTGGTGACAGAAAACTGCGTGGAAGTGCAGGAGATAGGGGAGGATGAATATCTGGTCATCATCAGGTTTACACCGACAGTACCTCACTGCTCCTTGGCCACTCTCATCGGTGAGGTTCCTTTAGATAAACCAGAAACGAGGAGCACACAGCTGACTGCAGCTTGTCTCACAGTCAGTCTTGCCTGGCTGTGCTGGCTGGACCAGGAATTGCATCTTGAGAACCCAGCCACCAGTGCAACCAAACCAAAACCCAAACCAAACCAAGAGAAAAAAACCCAAATCCAGAGAAATGGGGACACCCATCTGTTTGTGTCGTGTTAGGGAATCCCTTCAAAGAGAACCTCTCAAAACTCTGCTGGGAAGTGGTACAGAATTCCTTCTTTGTATTCTCCAAGTTACTTCATTAATGTTATTAATTTACAGTTTGACAGCTCTTAAATTTAAAACAACCACAAAATGACAACTTTCTGCTTGTTCCCTTTCCCTCTGTGGCTTGTGCTGCTCAGAATACAAAAGGACATTGTTAGTTACACTGGTTGTTAGACATGGAGTCTCTGAAAATGCACCCCAGACCTTGAATTTTACAGGAAAATCTCTTTTGTGTTGTGTTTTAACAGGCCTCTGTTTAAGAATAAAACTTCAGAGATGTTTGCCTTTTAGACACAAGGTAAAGTTCCTGTTTTGAAGCCTATTTTAAATTCCATGAATGAATGGCAACCTCCCTAAATTAAGCACAGTGATCCACAGACCTTTAGAGACTTGAGCAAAATAATTTAAAGAATACCTTCATTACCTGAGGGTTTCTGCAGTTGAGTTTTGGGTGGTTGTTTTGTGTTCGTAGCTGCTGGCTCCACGCTCCCAGCTGAGCTCTGGAAGGGGAGCTCTGGCCAGCAGCCCCTGGCGTGGCAGCAGGGGTGACAGGCCCTGGGTGTGCAGGGGGAGGTGGTTTCCTTCCAGGAAGGAATGTTTTCCACTGCTGTGCTGCTCCTAACGCTGCTGATCTCTCCCCTAGCTGGAAATCTACATTTCTGAGGGCACGCATTCCACGGAGGAGGACAGTGAGTAGAGCCTGTGCATGCTGCTGCTTTGTGCTCTGTCCTCTCCTCCCCTGCCTTCCCAGAAATTAATCCCCTGTGAAAGCTTGAGAACCAGGTGGCATCAAGGTGTTCCCCAGGCTGTGGTGGCTCTGTGACCAGCTGCTTGCTGCAGGTTTGGTTTTAGAACAAAAGCCCCTCAGTTCTGGCAGGTGGTGTGTTTGTAACAAAAGGATCATTGACATGAGGAGCTGCCTCACCAGTTCATCTCACTGTCCTGAAAGCCTGACACCAAAAGCTGATGTTTCTCAGTCAGTTTCTGCAGTGAGGCTTGCAGGATGTGGATGTTCTGAGCCAGGCACTGCCCCCAGCAGCCCTGCAGTCCCGGCAGTGCCCTGGGCTTGAGCCTCCAGCCTCTGCCAGAAATGGGATATTTTGGTTAAAGAGCTGCAAACTGAACCTGGAGAACCTGGGCTGCTGATTGCTCCTCAGTTTCAGTCTTGATTTTGGGACACACCACAGGAACACCTTACATCCTTCCCTGACCTAGAACAGAGACAGAAATGACCATTTCCCATGGCTGTGTTGTGACTGAGCTTGCGTTTGCCTCGTTCCCCGTTTCCCAGTGACCCTCCTCATCGTGTCCTTTTCTCCTGGGCACCCTCGGGTGTCCCTGGAGCTCCTGACCCCCTGTGCTGGCTGTTTTGCAGTCAATAAACAGATCAATGACAAGGAGAGGGTGGCGGCGGCCATGGAGAACCCGAACCTGCGGGAGATCGTGGAGCAGTGCGTGACTGAGCCCGACTAGGGAGCCTGTCCCTGGGGACAGCCCTGCTGCAAGCTGAGGAAAATAATAATAATCAAGGCCTTGAGCTTAATACTTGAGTTTTTATCTTCCATGTGTTTTTTTAAAGAGAAATCGTTTATAAGATAGATTTAAATTATGAGGAATCAGTCTCTAAAGAAAGGCCAGTGTATAGTGCTGGAAGTTTGTAATTTTTGGTGTCCAGAGGAATATTTTGTGATTCAAAGCAACACATCCACATTGCCTTCTGAGAGACGTTGTGATATAAATTCAGTTTTGCAAGTTAAATTTCTACATTGTTTCAATCACTGCACTGTAAAAATAAAACAGATTCTTGTACTGAAATGCTGTTTTCTGGGTCCTGAATTTGTTTTGTTTTTTTCTTAAGGATTAAGTTTAGATTTCTGTCAGAGAAATTAATTTCGTTCAGCTTCTTCAGTGTCAATAAACATTAAAGCTGAAATTAATTCAGAAAAATAATTTGGAGCTGAGGGAGTGGACTAGAACAAGGAAATTTCTTCAATTCCTGCTAAATCCTTGTGCTCTTTTCCCTGTTCATGTTACACATTTCTGATTCTGGAAGCTTTGCTTTATAACCACCCTGAAGGTGAAGTTTCCCTATGGATGAGAACTCGATCCTGCTTTTCCTTCTGACTTTCCTGCAGGGTGGGAGGTGAGAGCATCCCACAGCTCCTCCTCCTGCTGGCTCCCTCTGTCCTGTTCCTGTCACTGCTCCCTCCCTGATCCTACCTGGAGCATCCCTCACACCTCCAGCTGTCCCACCTTTCCCACGGGAGACACTCCCAGGTTTCCTTTCCAGTGCAGCTCTGGGTCTGAGCCTGGATTTACCTTTCCCTGGAACCAGGCAGTGCCCTCCCAGCTCCTCCTCCCAGGGCAGGCGTTCAGGATCTGCTGCAGTGGCTCCTGCTCCTCCCTGCAGTGCTGCTTCCATGGTGAGGGATCCTTGCAGGGCAGTGCAAAGATCTGCTGGGATTTCAGGGATTTGTGGCTGTTTTAATAATCCCCATAAAGCTTTCCTGAGGGCATGGAAGATGGAATGGACTCAGCATTGCAAACAGGGGAATGAATATTCCCCTTGGTAAACCACTGAACTGCTCCATGGCACAGCAAGGCCCTTCCCCTCAAGTGCCAAATTAGCTGAAAAAAATTAATTAGAGGGGAGGAAGGAGGAGGAGAACAATCCCCTTTTGTCCACAGGTGTGAAAAAAACACTTTTCAACTTCAGTTACTCAGCTTCAATTAAATTTCAGTTAAATTTCCAACTCCTTTGTACCCCCATGGACAAATGTGCCAGCCCAGGGGACACGTCCTGTGTCCCACCCCAGTGTGGGAAGGGGTCCAGGCACGGAACACCTGCAGGGATGAACCAAATGCTCCAGGGAGCCTGAGCTGTCATTATCTGTTGGCTTCTTTCCTGGAATTTGGTTGGTTTTTTTGCCCTTCAGCAGCAGGGTTGATGTTTTGTTTTCAGAACGCAGCTATCTGTGCCAGCAAGGAGGTTCTGTGCATCCTGGGGCCACGAGATAGCGTGAAGGGCTAACCTGAGGGCTCTCTGTGCCCTCTGCCCCTGCTCAGCTCGGTGGCACCACCACAGCTGCATCCCCAGCTCTGAGCAAAGCTGGCAGCACAGGGAACGGGATGCTCTGGTGACAGCAGGGTGGCTCTCCTTGCTCCTGCACTGCCCTGAGGGCTTTGTGCTGGGGCACAGAGGTTAAAAGTTCTTCTCTGGAGCAACAATTTGGGAAAATGGGCCTGATCCCAAAACCAGGCCTCTGAAACCAGGAATATTCCCAATTCCTCGGGCAGTGGCTCGTGGCTGGGGCACTGGGAGGTGACTCCCCAGGATCTGCTGCGCTTCCCAACATTCCCATTTGAACTGGCCTTGGGCTCTGTGTCCATCCACAGCCCGGGCTGGGCAGAGGCTTTGGTGCCATCGGCCTGTGGGGACACTGGGGGTGACAGAGGAGCAGCTGGGGAGCAGCAGGGACAGGGACAGGGGATGCCAACACCTCAAGTGCTGGGGGTGCTCCTCCAAACCCGGGAGGACACCCGCGGGCCACCGCCCTCGCCTGGATCAAAAAGCCCTAAAATTGTTCCTTCGGATTATGAATCCTTTGCGTTTACAGCAGGGAGGGACAACTGCAGAGGGCACCAGCAACTCACAGCACTGCCGTGCCGGGAGGAGCCTCCCCGGCCGGGCTCCGGGAACATCCCGGGAACATCCCGAGAACATCCCGGGAACATCCAGAGAGCATCCCGGGAGCATCCCGAGAGCATCCCGGGAACATCCCGGGAACATCCCGGGAACATCCCGGGAACATCCCGAGAGCATCCCGGGGACCCCGCGGGCTCCGGGAACATCCCGAGGACCCCGCGGGCTCGCCGGTGCTCTCAGCAGCAGCACCGCTGGGGCTGCAGGGGCTCCCGGGTGTGCTGGAGGAGCGGAGGAAGCCGATGAAGCCCAGCAGGGGTTTGAGCCGTGCAGGTTGTCCCCGCTCGGTGCTGTTGGCTGGGGTCCATCACTGGACAGCCTGGCCCGGAGGGGCCGTGTCCCCGCCCCGGGAGCAGCTGCGCCGGCAGGCTTGGCTTTAGGGTTAGGGTTAGGCTTAGGTTTAGGGTTAGGCTGGCTTTGGGTCTAGGTTGGGTTTCTGCACTCACTTGTGCAGGGACGCGGAGGGACAGAGAGCACAGCAAAGCCCAGAACTGGGGCTGGGGGAATCCTCCTCCCCCCGGGATCGCCCTCCAAGCAGGAGGGAGCACCCCGAGCCCAGCTTTAGCTCCTGCCTCGCCCCGGACCATTCCCCGCTCTGCTCCCCCCAGGCAGAGCCAGCACCGTCCCCTGCCCCTCTGCCCGAGCCCCGACACGCCAAGGGATCTCAGCAGCCTCTGCATCTCCTGCAGCCCCTGCATTGCATCTCCTGCTGCCCCTGCATCTCCTGCAGCCCCTGGATCTCATCTCCTGCAGCCCCTGCATCTCATCTCCTGCAGCCCCTGCATCGCATCTCCTGCGGCCCCTGCATCTCCTGCAGCCCCTGCATCGCATCTCCTGCAGCCCAGCCCCTGCATCTCCTGCAGCCCCTGGATCTCCTGCAGCCCCTGGATCTCCTGCAGCCTCTGCATCTCCTGCAGCCCCTGCATCTCCAGCTGCCGTTCCCAGCTCGGAAATCACCTTCCCATCCCAGATCTCCAGGCTGGAGGAAGCGGGACGGGGCTGCTCCCCTGCCCCGCCGGGCCGATGTTTACTCACACTTTACTCGGGGTGTAACTATTACTCACGGCAGCTGGCAGCGGAGCACTCAGTACAGAGCTGTTTTTAGCAGGTAGATGTTTCTAAATGTTTACACCCGGCTGAGCTCAGGGCAGGGGGCTGTGGCTGGTGGCAGCTCTGCCCTCCTACAGCACATGTGGAGCAGCATTGTTGAATTTCCCAACCGAATGGTTGCTCCGGGTGAGCAAACACACCGCGCCTTGCTAGCGGCTGCGGCAGCTCCTTTCCCTCCCGTTTCTGTCCTTCCCTTCCCTTCCCGCACCTTCCCTTCCCGCACCTTCCCTTCCCGCACCTTCCCTTCCCGGCAGTCCCAGGATGAGTTTCCCTTCCCTTCCCACCGGGAATGATCCCGGGAACATCCCGGGATGAGCTGCCGGGGCAGTGACCGGGTGCAGGGGGTGGGTGAAGGCCGTTCCCTACCGGAGCAGCTGGCAGGGCTCAGCTGCCAATTAAAATCCGAACAAAAAGATAAAGCAGTGACATTTCTCAAATCCTTCCCTTGCTGTCCTGCCCCTCTGTGCTGTGGGAACCCCGTGAGCCCTTTCTGAGCAGCACCAGGAGCTTTTAACAACAAGAAGAAATAAATCCCTTTCCTGTTGTTAGGGGCAGGTGGGAGCTGAGCTGTTGCTGGTCCCGCTGCCTGCCCAGGTTGGATCTGTGCCCCTCCCCGTGCAGCTGATGAAGGAGCGATGACCTTTGGCTCCCTGGGAATTAAACCCCCCCAAGCTGGGGCCACCTGGGCTGGACAGAGGCCCCTGGTGAGGGCTGAGAGCTGGAACACCACAGGTGCTCTGCCAGGAGGATCTGAGACACAAACAAGCTCCTCCAGCAGCAGCTGCTGCTTCCCAACGAGCTCCTCTTCCTTCCTGTGTCCAGCATGGAAATGTCTGGCAGTGACCGAGGCAGGCACAAAGCTCTGACTGCTGATCTGAAGCCAAAAGGCCCTCTCAGAGAGTCCTCCAGGAGATCATGGAATGGTTTGGGTGGGAAGGGACCTTAAGGCCCATCCAGTCCCACCCCCTGCCACGGGGAGGAACTGGATGGGCTTTAAGGTCCCTTCAAGGTCCCTTCCCACCCAAACCATTCCATGATCCTATTTCAAGCATCTTTTGATCCGTGAGCCCTTTCCTCCTTTCGCCCCGCTGCAGCAGCTCTGTCTGAATAACATCCTGCTTGTGTTGGGACAATAACAGCATCTTTAGAAGAAGAAAAAAAGCCATTTCTGTGTCCCATCCAACCCTGCCCCGTCAGTGGGAAGCCATTCCCCGTTCTGCTGTCACGCCAGGCCCTTGTGAAGAGCCTCTCTGCGGAGACCCTCACTGGAGGTGTCTCACTGCAAGAAAATACTGCAGATATTTAAGCCAGATGTGTTTTATTGTCACTGATGAAGCAGTTTCTGTGCTGGTGGGAGGCCTGGCTTGTTACGTGGCCAGGAACAGCCTGGTGTCCCACAGGAGGGATTATCCCGTGCCCTCAGCCGGGCACAGATGGGACCCTGCACGTGGAAAGGCCCTGCAGGAGAGGCTCACCAGATCCTGTGCCACAAATAAATTGATTTGCAGAACTGATTTACCCCATCAACCCGGCTCATGTTTTAATCGGCAAATCCCAGTTGCAAACGGCAGCTGTGAATGATTTTCGCGTGCAAACTGATCGTTCCTTCCTGCTGCCAGCGCCTGAACCATCTCCAATTAACTGAAAACCTTCAGCATTCCCCACGGGGAAGAGAAAATGTGAAACCCACCTGTTTCCTTCAGTAACTGTTTAATTTAACACACTCGTGAGCCGTGAGAGCCCAGCACAAGGGCTGGCCCTTTGCAGTCCTGGGAGGGAGACAGGCTGGGGGACAGATGGTGCCGGGGACAAGGAAACCAGGACTGGACACGGCTTCTTGGACCATAAAAACTGACACCACCTTGGAACGGAATAAAGCACAAATGGTGAAGTCATGGCTTGTGTTTTACATACAAATCACACACAGGAATTTCCCCCTTGGACTGAGAGCTGCTCCCGACAGCCCTGGATGCACCTGGAGCTCTGCAGCCCGGGATGGGCTCCAGCCTGACTGCCCAGCGCGGGCAGCATTGCCCTTCAAGGTCCCCCAGGTTTGGGGCATCCTCCACAGCCTGAACAGGGAGAGGGATTCCTACCTAAACACTCCTGCCCTCCTCCAGAGACCAACCTGCCAGCAAACCCACCCTGAGACGGGCAGGGATTCATTCCCACACCGCTCCGGGAGCCGGCGGCAGGGGCTGTGCCTCAGAGTAAATTGGATATTCTAGTTAAAAATCAGCTAACCTTAACAGAGGAGAATCTAGATAAGCAGGGGAAAAAAAAAGGGTTCAGCCTGTAGGGCCACAGAAAAACACCTTAACCAAGCATTACAGTGCTACACATCCAGAAATGCAGGGGCTGAGCGCTTGGCTGCCCAGCAGGGAGGGGATGTGCCACAGCTTCCCTCTTCCAAATGCACGCAAGGGAAGCAGCTGGTGGCCTCCAAACCTCGGCATCCCTGTGGTGCCCTCTGCTCCAGGGGGACACAGCAGTGGGGAGACAGGGTAGGAGCCCTGCACGCCCCCAACTGAAGCTGAAACTTTATTCCTCTGCCCTGTCTCCACTTCTTAAATTAAATCTATTCAGCTTCAGTGCGTAAACATTTTAATGAAAATGACAGGAATGGGTTGCCAGCTTCAAGTCCCTTCAAGGATAAAAAAAAACAAACCAAAAATCCCTACCCCAAAGGGTCGGCAGAGCCGGTGGAATGTTGGATGCTCACCTCAGAGATACAAAAAAAATAATAAAAAAAAAATAATCAAGGTTTGTGCTGGCCAGCCAACACCTCCGAGAGGCTGCACATGTCGAATGATAGCACCATAAGCGTTTCTGGGAGCTGTTCCCCGAACTCTTGCTGCTTTCAGCTCCCCTTTCCCCGCGTGGTCCCGGCAGTGCGTGGGGAGCAGCGGCAGCCGCAGCCCAGCCCCGCTGATGGCCGAGCACCGTGAGAGAGCGGCAGGGCCCGGGGAGCCGGGGCTGGCCCGGAGGAGCCCCGTGCTGGGCCAGCGCTGTCACCTCCGGGAGAGCCGCTGGTGACCGCGGCCGGGTGCCAGCAGCCCGTGCTGGTGGCAGCTGTGGCAGCACTGGGCGCGCACGGTGGGCAGCTGGCACCGGCCCAGCAGCCGCAGGGTCCGGCAGAAGGCGAAGCTCAGGCGGTCGCGCTCGCAGGGCGCACCTGGAGGGGAGGCAGAGCACAGGAGGCTGTCAGTGCCACCACGGCCGCCGGGTGTCTGATGTGACAACGTGGGAGGAGATGATCCTTCCGGGCCCTTCCATCCCAAACCATCCCAGGACTCTGTGGGAGCTGGCACCGCCTGGAGGGGCACGGACAGAGCTCCCCCAGCTCAGAGCCCTCCTGTGCCTGGGCACCCACCCGGCAGAAACTGCACCTGTGCTGCTGCCAGCAGCTCCAGAACTCCTCCCCAGGGCTCCAGGAAAACCTGTGCTGCTGCCAGCAGCTCCAGAAGTCCTCCCCAGGGCTCCAGGAACAGAACCGAGGTGCAGGGCACAGCCCCCTCCCATCCTGCCAGTCCCCAGCCCCCCAGTGCCAGCAGAGCGGCAGAAAGGCCAGAATTCCTTTTTCTTTGAATTGTTCCGGTTATTTTGAGAACCTGAATCATCTGGTTTGCTTCCTGCAGGTGTCCTGCAGCCCTCAAAACAACTCTGGTGCCGCTCTGAGGATGGGCTTTGTTTGGGAAGGCTGCTCCCGTGGCAGCCCGGGCTCCACCAGGCCCCAGCTGGGCTCAGCCCAGCAGCACAGAGCCACCACCAAATACACCTGCTTCATATGGATACCGAGCTGGTTTCTTTGAATTTTTGGTTTCCTCCTTCTCTACTTTATCTCAGAGCAAGGCACGACCCCCTGAGCCCTGCAGCTCCTCACCCAGCGCTGCAAGCCTCGCTTAAACTGCATCAACTCCAAAACGAGCCTAAGCTTAAAGTCTGTGGTTCTGCAATTCCAATTTTGCCTCCTGTAGAAGGAATTAAAATACATGACAGCTTTTCTCTGGGAAAGGGCAGAGCTGAGGCACTCTGGGGCCAACCCCCCATCGCTTGTCCCGGGCACCCTTCCTCCAGAAGAGGGGCAGGCGAAGGGGCTTTTCTCTTTCTCAGGACACTCCTGTGCAGGGGAAAGGCCCCCGAGCCCGGGGAGCTCTCGCTGACCACTGCCCCTCGGCCTGTCCCCTCTGGGAACAAAGGCTGTGCCCAGGGAACGGCCGCTGCCCCCATTCCCACGGGAATTCTGACCCGCCGCAGATGCAGAGCAGAGACTTTTCCCCCGGCTTGGGATTTCAGTCTCGGCCCCAGCCCCCAGCCCAGCGGTGAGGAGGTCACTACACTGCTCTAAACTTCATTTTCTGTTTCAGCTGAGGTATTTCCTCCCTGCCTCCCGAGCTGCAGCTCTTTGTGCCCGGCCAGAGTGTCCCTGTGCCCCCAGAAAAGCAATTTATCACTGAGAAATAAATTCAGAGAGGGATCGAGGGGATCCCAGCTTCACATCACTCCTGCAGGCGGGGGGCTCGCTCCAGCCCCTGCCTGCTGGGACAGCAGCAGTGCCTTTTCCCTGCTGGGGGAGCAGAGCAGGTGAGAAATCTCTGCCCAGCCTGGGCAGGGTCGGGTGTGCAGAACATCCCAGAGCCACTGGAAACAGGGCAGTGTTTGTTGGAGCTCTGCTCCGGGGGCTGTCAGGATAACATTCCCTGATCGCCCAGGCTGCACTGGAGCACAGCAGTACAGCTATTCCCATGTGCTGCAGGACAGGGATGGCTCAGCAGGGCCCTGGAACACCTCTGGGGTGTCCCATGAGAGCGGGACTCAGCCTGGATGCCCATGGGCGGGTGGGAATGTCCTGGGCACTGCTGGGGAATGCTCTCCTGGGCAGACCCTGCACAGCCCCTCAGTATTTTTAGCTCCCTCAGCTTCCTAGAAAGTTATTTATGGATCACAACCAAGCTGCCTCCTGCCTCCCTTGGAAAGAGCTGTGAAGCTCACACTGGGAGGCCGCTTTCCAGGCTTGGAGCGATGGTTCAGCTCTTTCCTGATCCCTTTCCAGCGGCTCAGCGCCCTGGGCCCATCAGGAAATTCCTGTCCCTGCCCCATGCCCAGGCAGCAGTGAGCACACCCTGCCAGGGGTTCCTGCTCCCTGAACCCCTCCTCACCCACAGAGGATGGGATTCCTGGGGAACACAGCAGGGATGGGCTCGGGAATGGGGGAGAAGAGCCACCACCCTTGGCTGGAGGCTCTGCTGACCTTTGGAGACCCCAGGGCTCCAAAGCCAAATGACCTCATGGATCACAGAATATCCATGGGAAGGGACCCACAGGGATCATCCAGCCCAAGCCCTGGCCCTGCACAGGACACCCCCACAGTCCCACCCCATCCCTGAGAGCGCTTTCCCAACGCTCCCTGGTGAAGTCAAAGGGAGCTGCTGAGGGGTTGAGTTCCCATCCCTTTCCCAGATCCTGCTGCAGTCTCAGGGTGGATGTCTGCGGGGTCAGGCTCAGCTCTGAAAAGCTTGGCTGGGCTTGGGATTCCTCCCTGGAATTCGGTCTTGGGCAAGGGAAGCCGTAATAAGCACTTAATTTGTCAGCTCTTCAGAGAGGGACCTACAGAACCCACCCAATTCTCATTTAATCCTTCTACTGCTATTTCTTTCTATTAACAATTTTTTATATAATCCTCGCACTTCATTTGGACCCACGTTCTGTAAGTCCATGCCAAACCTCAGGCTGAAGAAATAGCTTAAAGCAGGGCTTTAAAAATCCAGGCTAAGTCAGCACATGAGAGACTGAAAACCCCCACTTTTCTGGGGCTGTTTTTTTAGGTCGGTGTGGAAGTCGCTTTAAATTTCATTTAAGCTTCTGCCAGCCAGACCTAAGCTTTTACTTTTATTCCTGGGAAAAATAAACTTCCTGGAACACGTTTTGTAAAAACAAGGAAAGGTTGAGCTTGGAGCTGAGCTAGCAAATCCAGGGAATTAAGCTGCTGACCTCTGGCCCTCGGGATGCTCTCGGAGCCAGGGCTGAATTTAACAAGAAAATTATCCCAGGGTCCTGCTCTGGGGATGAGGTGCCTCCCTGTGGCCTCTGGTCAGTGGGATGGGATTGATGGGATGGGATGGGATGGGATGGGATGGGATGGGATGGGATGGGATGGGATGGGAGGGGATGGGATGGGATGGGATGGGATGGGAGGGGATGGGATGGGATGGGATGGGATGGGAGGGGATGGGATGGGATGGGATGGGATGGGAGGGGATGGGATGGGATGGGATGGGATGGGAGGGGATGGGATGGGATGGGATGGGATGGGAGGGGATGGGATGGGATGGGATGGGATGGGAGGGGATGGGATGGGATGGGATGGGATGGGAGGGGATGGGATGGGATGGGATGGGATGGGAGGGGATGGGATGGGATGGGATGGGATGGGAGGGGATGGGATGGGATGGGATGGGATGGGAGGGGATGGGATGGGATGGGATGGGATGGGAGGGGATGGGATGGGATGGGATGGGATGGGAGGGGATGGGATGGGATGGGATGGGATGGGAGGGGATGGGATGGGATGGGATGGGATGGGAGGGGATGGGATGGGATGGGATGGGATGGGAGGGGATGGGATGGGATGGGATGGGATGGGAGGGGATGGGATGGGATGGGATGGGATGGGAGGGGATGGGATGGGATGGGATGGGATGGGAGGGGATGGGATGGGATGGGATGGGATGGGAGGGGATGGGATGGGATGGGATGGGATGGGAGGGGATGGGATGGGATGGGATGGGATGGGAGGGGATGGGATGGGATGGGATGGGATGGGAGGGGATGGGATGGGATGGGATGGGATGGGAGGGGATGGGATGGGATGGGATGGGATGGGAGGGGATGGGATGGGATGGGATGGGATGGGAGGGGATGGGATGGGATGGGATGGGATGGGAGGGGATGGGATGGGATGGGATGGGATGGGAGGGGATGGGATGGGATGGGATGGGATGGGAGGGGATGGGATGGGATGGGATGGGATGGGATGGGTGGGATGCATTCCCAGCTGCCAGCCTGGCCTGCACAGGCTGGCCCTGACACAGCCACAGCTGGGAAAACTGGGAGAAACCCACAACCCCCAGAGTTTTCAGGGGTCAGCCCTGCTGCAGGCAACATCTTTCTCTCACATTTTATCAAAACAGGGAGTCCTTTCTGGAGCATCCCTTTCCCACTGACTCCTGTTGTCAATTAGCAGTTAATTAATTGCTCTCCTGGCCTCACCACTTGGATAGGGACACGCTCAAATGACAGAGAAAATTGGCATTTGCTGCAATTATTTCCCACATGGATCCCTTGTGGATGAACTCTGTGACTTGCAGAACCACAAACAATTTCATTTCCTCGCTCAGAGCAAGCAGGAGCAGCACATTTAATTGCCAATTAATCTTGTGGCGACTCCAAATGCAGCCAGCCCCGGATAACGAGCCGGGAAATGGGAGCAGTGGGAGAGCCATGGGTGTCTGACCCAGTGTGAGCAGAGCCTTCACTCCTGGGGCCCCACAGCCCCCAGCACCATCCCCTGTGCTGGCTGCTCCTGGGACACGGGGCTGGGCTGTCAGGACACAGGACTGGGCTGTCAGGACACAGGGCTGGGCTCTCAGGACACAGGGCTGGGCTCTCAGGACACAGGGCTGGGCTCTCAGGACACAGGGCTGGGCTCTCAGGACACAGGGCTGGGCTCTCAGGACACAGGGCTGGGCTCTCAGGACACAGGGCTGGGCTCTCAGGACACAGGGCTGGGCTCTCAGGACACAGGGCTGGGCTCTCAGGACACAGGGCTGGGCTCTCAGGACACAGGGCTGGGCTCTCAGGACACAGGGCTGGGCTCTCAGGACACAGGGCTGGGCTCTCAGGACACAGGGCTGGGCTCTCAGGACACAGGGCTGGGCTCTCAGGACACAGGGCTGGGCTCTCAGGACACAGGGCTGGGCTCTCAGGACACAGGGCTGGGCTCTCAGGACACAGGGCTGGGCTCTCAGGACACAGGGCTGGGCTCTCAGGACACAGGGCTGGGCTCTCAGGACACAGGGCTGGGCTCTCAGGACACAGGGCTGGGCTCTCAGGACACAGGGCTGGGCTCTGTCCCGTTCCCAGAGCAACTGCACCACTTCATACACACTTGTCCTTGAGCCAGTGAAGTCTTTACCTCATCCCTTTGGAATTCCAAGCTGAGACACCTGTGGAACAGCTGTGTTTGCTGTTGGAGCCCAGAATTGGCCCCTTCACCTGGCTGGCACCTGCCTGGGGCTGATTTGGGGAGCTCAGAGACCTCCCAGGTATCAGATCTGGAGAAATGGGCACGAGGGAAGTGATTCATCCCATGGCACGGCCAGATGAGCACCCGGAGCCCTGCTCTGTCCTGGGCAGGGAGGTGTCAGTGCCAGCAGGACGTGCCGTGTCCAGCACAGCCACCAGCCTGCAGTGACCAGCTGAGTGAGCAGCTCCATCCACCCCTGCTCCCTCCTCCAGTCACACAGCAGCTCCCACCTTTCTGGTTTAATTCTGTCTGATCTGCTGGATAAACTGCTGCAGGTTTCTCCAGGCCCTCATCCCGACCTGGGGCTCAGCTCCCTTCCAAGACACCCTCAACAATTCCCAGAGAAATGTTCCCAGCCTCTGGAGCATCACACGGAGGCACTGGGGTGCCCACGGCTCTGCAGCTCCCAGGAGCCATCTGAGGACTCACAGCTGGCTGCAGCTGTAGGACAAAATTCAGAAATAACCTTGGTGGAATCTTCAATTCATTTATAACCTGGCAACAGACCAGGACTCTGCTTCTAATTAATCCCGACCCCCTTTAATTGAGGAGCCGATTGCTGTGAGATGTTTGTGCTTCATCTGTTCCATCTGATAATGCTGGAACATTTAAACCCTGCTGGGGTTATTGGCACTTTTGTGTCCAGTGAGGACATGACCACTGACAGACCCAGCCCCGGTTCTGCTGGCACTGGGGAACCTCGCGCCAGAGGAGGGAGAGGCTCCCCACAAAAACACGGATTGCTCCAGCCTGAACCCATCCTGTGCACTGAAGATCCCCTAAAGCACAGGAAAGGGCTGGAGTTACATTTATGTCTTTCTGGGAGCCTTTGACTGCGCATTTACACATCTGGGATTTCCTGCCATGTGAAAGTTTTGTTCCCCTTCATGCTTTGGCTGGAAACGTTTGTATTTCCAAGAGGCGTTTCCTGCCCTGGGTTGCAGCCAGAGCATTTATGTCATTTTTGATCCAGGATTTTACCATTTATTTGTGTGCTTCCTACTCATCTCAGTGGTTATTCTGGTCCAGCCTCGGCTCCATAGCTCTCATCACCAAGCCTGGCACGGAAATTTTCCCCTGACCAAAACCGCACATCGTGTCTTGAGCAGGGCTGACTCATCATTTCCTAAACGCTGGAGTGCCCCACGGCCCTGCAAATGCTCCAAAAAGGAGCAGATTCATGGCTAAAAACATCCTGATGGCCAACAGTGCCAGTGCCCAAATCCCAGTCAAGCAAAGCCAGCGCTCCTGCCTGCTCTGGGATAGGTGTCAGGAGGAACACACTGGGCATGGGATAAACAGAAAGAGCTGGAAGGCTGGAATGGGCTCAGGGATGTGTGGAGCAGCCGTGGATCCGGCTCCTCCACCCCAGGCACCAGCTACTGCTGCCCCCTGCCCCACCTGTCAGCCCTCCCTTTGTCCAGCAATACTTTCTGGGCAGCCAAAGAGCTTTTCTTTTGCTCAGACACATTAAAAAGATAAAGCTGGTAAGTGACTGACAGGCTGATATCAGTGACATCTGATCCCTCATTATGTTGCTTTTCTGTAAGTGCTGTTAACCCTTGCATCCCCAGATTTCTGTCTGCCAGGGAACTGCCTGGTGCTGGGGACGGATCTCTGTGAGTGGAGGAGGGAGAAGAAGCCAAGTGAGTGCCCGTGGTGTGGCTCAGCACTGTGGCTGCAGCTGGGGCAGGTCAATGACAAACAGGTTAAAATGGGGCTGGCTCCCTGGCTCCCTGCTCAGGCACACCTGAAGATGCTGGAGAGCTGCTCCTTTATTTTATTTCCTTATGCTGGGCCCAGCTTGTTTCACAAGTCTTGTGTGTTCTGGGACTAAACCACTAAACATCTTCCTGAGAGCTCAGCACTGGGTATTGCCCTCTGCCTTCCTTTTCCTGAACTCCCCATTGCCCCTGGATGGGATCCCTTCACCCCACAGGGTCCCTCGGGGTGACACTGACACTGTCCCTGTGGTGACACTGACACTCCAAGCACATCCCAGCCCACATCTGTGCCAGCAAAACCCTGCTTGGCCCCTTCAGGGACGGCTGCTCTGGACGTTTCTAGACAGTTATAACATTCCCACTTAATTATCAATTGATAATTAATTGTAAGGCCGAGTCGGCCTTACACAACCCATGACCGAAACGCCCGCTCCATCTCCCCGCACCCTTCCCACTTCCCAGGCTGGCTGTGCCTTGGCTCACCCGGCTCGGAGCCGTCACAGTCCTGGGGGTTGCACTTCTGGGTGCTCTCTGGCCAGGGCTCGTGGTCACACAGGCTGCTGTCCTCCTCGGCCACCCCCGTCCTGGTGTCGATGCACTTCACCTGGCGCCGCTGGATGCCCCCTCCGCACGGAGCCGAGCACTGCGCAGCGGGAGCGGGGTCAGGCTGGGGAGAGCCCCCATTCCCACCTGTGCAGGGCTGGGATCCCCATTCCCACCTGTGCAGGGCTGGGATCCCCATTCCCACCTGTGCAGGGCTGGGATCCCCATTCCCATCCCACTGCAGGGCTGGGATCTCCATTCCCATCCTGTGCAGGGCTGGGATCCCCATTCCCACCCTGTGCAGGGCTGGGATCCCCATTCCCACCCCACTGCAGGGCTGGGATCCCCATTCCCACCCTGTGCAGGGCTGGGATCCCCATTCCCATCCTGTGCAGGGCTGGGATCCCCATTCCCATCCTGTGCAGGGCTGGGATCCCCATTCCCATCCTGTGCAGGGCTGGGATCCCCATTCCCATCCTGTGCAGGGCTGGGATCCCCATTCCCATCCTGTGCAGGGCTGGGATCCCCATTCCCATCCTGTGCAGGGCTGGGATCCCCATTCCCATCCTGTGCAGGGCTGGGATCCCCATTCCCATCCTGTGCAGGGCTGGGATCCCCATTCCCATCCTGTGCAGGGCTGGGATCCCCATTCCCATCCTGTGCAGGGCTGGGATCCCCATTCCCATCCTGTGCAGGGCTGGGATCCCCATTCCCATCCTGTGCAGGGCTGGGATCCCCATTCCCATCCTGTGCAGGGCTGGGATCTCCATTCCCATCCTGTGCAGGGCTGGGATCTCCATTCCCATCCTGTGCAGGGCTGGGATCTCCATTCCCACCCTGTGCAGGGCTGGGATCCCCATTCCCATCCTGTGCAGGGCTGGGATCCCCATTCCCATCCTGTGCAGGGCTGGGATCCCCATTCCCACCCTGTGCAGGGCTGGGATCCCTGCTCCCCTCAGGACCCCTGACCTGTCCCCAGGAGCCCACCAGCCAGGTGGTGCAGGGCTGGCTGTTGCAGGGCCGGATGCTGTTGGGTCTCGATGTCTCCTCGCAGCGCCCCGGCTCCGGGCACGTCACCAGGCGCGCCTGCTCCCCGCCACCGCAGGGCTCCGAGCACTGCGGGACAAAGCGGGGAGCAGCGTCAGGGGCTGCAGCCCCTCCGCCATGGACACAGCTGGGGGGGCTCACCTGGACAGGAGAAGCTCCAGGGAGAGCTCAGAGCCCCTTGCAGGGCCTGAAGGGGCTCCAGGAGAGCTGGAGAGGGACTGGGGACAAGGGATGGAGAGACAGGACACAGGGAATGGCTCCCCGTGCCAGAGAGCAGGGCTGGATGGGATCTTGGGCAGGAATTGTTCCCTGGGAGGGTGGTGAGGAGCTGGGATGGAATTGCCAGAGCAGCTGGGGCTGCCCCTGGATCCCTGGCAGTGCCCCAGTCCAGGCTGGACACTGGGGCTGGAGCAGCCTGGGACAGGGGGAGGTGTCCCTGCCAGGGATGAGCTGTCCCCAGGGCAGCCCGTACCTCTCTCCAGGAGGACGTGTACCAGGCCAGGCACGGCGCGCTCCGGCACGGCAGCTGTGCCGGCGGCTGCGGCAGCGCGGCCCGGCAGTGGAAGGGCCGCAGCAGCCGCCGGTCCCGGGTGTCGATGCAGTGAACATCCCGCACCTTGGTGCCCCCGCCGCAGCTCCTGGAGCACTGGGGAAGGACACAGCACCGCGCTGGGAAGGGCAGCACGGCCCGAGCGGCCCCAGGGACCACTTTGGGTTGAGCTGACACCACGTCCCTTCCCCTCTTGCTGCAGGCCAAGCTAGAGCACGGTGTGTGCAGCTCGTCCGTCACCAGCACCCCTCTGGAAGCAGCTGGCTCCCATCACTAACAACAACAGTCTTTATGCCTTGAGGAACCGATGATCCCAAGGAACAGCGACCACCCAGAGCAAGGAGGGCTGTTCCCCACCACCAAACCCACCGAATCCACCCAACCCAACTGCAGACATCCCCTGGCACTGCAGTGCAGAGTGGCCAGAACACTGTCCAGAGACTGACAAGCCACAGACTGGTTTGGGATGGACCTCAAAGAGCACCTTGCTCCAGGCCCCTGTGATGGGATGATGACACCCGCTAGACCAGGCTGTCCAGCCCCAGCCAGCCTGGCCCTTCATCAAACCACTTCGTTCAGCTTTTGCAAATTCCCGGTTTTTTTACAGCCCAAGAGCAGGAAAAATGAAAGTACTGTGGGATGAGTAGTTTAAACCCTGTGGCAAGTGCAAACCTTTACCCACGTGAGCCGTGGGGCAAGGAGCAGGCGTGAGCCCACAGCCGCCTTGTCCCGCGGCTTTTGGGGACCTTCCCTCCCCGCGGGTTTTGGGGACCTTCCCTCCCCGCAGGGCCCCTTACCTTGCTCCAGTTGCCCACACGCCAGGCCGAGCAGGGTCTCAGGGAGCACCTCCGGGCAGGAACGGGTCTGTCGGCCGCGGCACAGCCGCTCTCGGCACCGCTGCTGCAGCGCACCGGCCTCCACACCGCGCCCACACCGCACGTGGCCGAGCACTGCAACACAGGGACCTGCTGTGGCCACCCCACCGCCAGCAGCCCTGCCCTGGGGCCGGCCACCGAGGGAGCCCCGGGGACACAGCTCCGGCCTGGAACACCAGGAAGGGGCTGTGGGGTGATGTGGGGAGAGGAGCTTCCCCTCTGAGCAGCGCTCAGCCCAGGGGAGGAGGAGGAGGAGGAGGAGGAACACGCTCCTCCACAGCCCATTCCAGTGTTTCTGCTCTGGGTGGGACTGACCCTTCCTCTCCCTGCTCTGCTGGCTCCCAGGAGGATTCTCAGGGCCAGGGCTGCCCACAGCACAGGGGGAAAAGGGGCAGCACCCCGGGGCTGGGGGAGCCTTTAGCTTTTGTTTCTTAATTAGCATTAATGACCGCAGTCACTGACTGCTGCCAGGAGCCCAGAGCCAGCCTGCACAGGTCTCACATCCGCACTGGCCGTGTCACTTTTCATGGGACTCACCACGTACCTCACTCCAGTTCCCGACCTCCCAGCTGGGCTTGGCAGTGGCTGCTGCGGTGGCTGACAGTGGAAGCAGAGCCTCCTCCTCCTCCTCCAGCCTCTTCTCCCACAGCAGGGGGGGCCAAGGGGTGGCCTGGGACAATTCGTGTCCCCCATCACCAGAGGCAGATGTCCCTGGTGATGTCCATGGTGAGGGGTCCCCTGGTGATGTCCATGGTGAGGGGTCCCCTGGTGATGTCCATGGTGAGGGGTCCCCTGGTGATGTCCATGGTGAGGGGTCCCTCGGTGATGTCCCTGGGGGTGTCCATGGTGAGGGGTCCCCTGGTGATGTCCCTGGGGGTGTCCATGGTGAGGGTGCCCCAGCAGTGACGCTGAGCAGGGTCCCATGGGAGGTCAGCTCGGTGTGGGGCGGGTCCAGGTGCTGGGACACCCCCTGTGTCCCCCATTCCAGGGGTGACCCTGCTGCGTGGGCAGGCGGGCCACGAGCTGGGGCTGTGGGCAGGGCTGGCACCAGAGCATCCTGCTGGGTGAGGCCGCTGGAGCTGAGCTGGGTGGGTGGCTCGGGTGTGGCAGGGGACAAGGGCACTGGAGGGGCTGTTGTGGCCACCGAGGGCACTGAGGTGGGGGCTGTGGGGGCGTGCAGCCCTGGCTGGTGTCCCACGGGAGCCCCAGCAGCACCCGCAGGAGGGGGACTCACGGCAGGGTGGGGGCTGCCAGCACTCCCTGCCAGCCCCCAGCCCAGCGGTGTGGGCGAGGCAGGATCTGCCCTCCGCATCCCAGGGGACTGCGTGTCCAGCATCCCCCCGGGCACTCCTGCCCAGCCGTGCCGCTCCGTGGCCTGCGGGGCTGCACCGCTGCTGTCGCTGCTGGTGGCCAGACCCCTTTCCCCGGGGTCCCGGTGGCCGCTCCCTGCAGCCCTGGCTGGGCCACGTCCCTGTGTGCTGCCCGGAGCTCCTGGCCCAGGGGACACCTCCGGACCCGCTGCCTGGGGACCCCGGGGACCATCCCGCCCAAGGCTGCTCCGGGTGGGCACAGCCCCGTGGGGCTCATCCCAGGGTGGGTGGCCGTGGCTTGCAGAGCTCTGGGTGGGCGGGTGGTGCTCAGAACGGGGCACGAGCACCGCATCCTCCTCCTCCTCCTCCTCCTCCTCCTGGCCCAGAAAGCCGGGGGTGCTGTATCTGGGGGTGGCTGGTCCCACATCCTCGGGGAGCACGCTCAGGCTGTCCCTGGTGGCTGAGTGGCCGGGCTGTGTCTCTCGCTCATGCACAGGAGCGTTCTCCTCGGTGCCGGGGGGCTCCTGGCTCTCTCCTCCCAGCTCGGGGGTGAGCAGCCCCTCGGTGGGCAGCTCCCAGGGCCCCTCCGTGCCCTCAGTGCCCTGCTCGGGCTTTGGCTCCTCGCCTTTGCTCTCCTTCTCCGTGAAGGGATAGTAAGACAGATCCTCATGGAAGTTGATGAAGTTGTAATCGTAGTAAAAATCGTCAACAAAGATATTTCCTTTCCTGGCTGAGAAGTCCTCCTCGGTGATCACATTGACATCGTTGGACTCGGGGATGCTTGGGATTAAGGGGTTAAATTTAGGAATGCGGCTGCTGGGGACGTAATGGATTTCGTTAAATATCTCCCTGCTGGAGGAGCCGCTGCCAGACCAGTCTGCGTTGGCACTGTCCCATTCCTTGTGGCACTGTGGCAGGGAGCAGCCCCTGTGCGGGCTGGGTCGCTGGGCAGGGTCACAGGCGGTCCCCGTGCTGTTGCTGCAGTGGACAGGGCGGCTCTGGGTCCCGTTCCCACAGGTCACCGAGCACTGGCAAGGGACAGAGAGGGACAGGTCTGTGGGGCAGGCCAGGAGTGGTGCCAGTGCTGCTCCCTCCCCTCCGTGTCACCCTGCCCCTGGGCAGCTCCTGGTGTCCCCTCCGTGTCACCCTGCC